AACTTTTTCCGCTTTATCAGCTTTTTTTATATTCTATTCCATTAATGTTTAACCTCCCTCAAAAAAGCCAAATAATATAAATGCTGTTGTTAAAAAAAGCGTTTTACCTGTTTTCGTGAATTCGCTACCCAAAGATCACTATGCTCAAAAGACAGGGCAAAATTTCGAGGAGAGAGGCATTAATTTACAAGGAGAAAATGCAATGATTATTATTATTGTAACCATCAGGTATACTCTATCAACGAGTTTACGGACAGCAAATGCAGTGATTATATTAATGTAACCATCAGGTATGTTCAACCCACGAGGTTACAAAGAGAAAATGCAAAGATTATTATTAACGTAACCTTCAAGTATGTTCTACCCACGAGGTTACAGAGAGCAAATGCAGTGATTATTATTAAATGTAACCGTCAGGTATATTCTACTCACGAGGTTACAAAGAGAAAATGCAATGATTAGTATTAACGTAACCTTCAGGTATGTTCTACCCACGAGGTTACAGAGAGCAAATGCAATGATTATTATTAAATGTAACCGTCAGGTATATTCTACCCGCCAGGTTACGGAGAGCAAATGCAGTGATATTATTAATATAACCATCAGGTATGTTCTACCCACGAGGTTACAAAAAAGAAAGTGCAATGATTATTATTAACGTAACCTTCAGGTAAGTTCTACCCACGAGGTTACAGAGAGAAAATGCAGTGATTATTATTAATGTAACCTTCAGGTATGTTCTACCCACGAGGTTACAACGAGAAAATGCAATGATCATTATTAATGTAACCATCAGTTATGTTCTACCCACGAGGTTACAGAGAGCAAATGCAGTGATTATTATTAATGTAACCATCAGGTATGTTCTACCCACGAGGTTACAGAGAGCATGCAAATGCAGTAACAATTATTAGATTTTAGTGCAACTATCAGGTTGAGTTCCTCCATTAAAGAGTTTTTTGCTAGGGTTAAACAAGTTTGGCTTTCATGAGTTTCAAGGTGCAAGAAAATATCAGTGTAATTATAGCACACAAACATTGTCATCTAATTTTTTGCACGTAGCCGGAATAAGCCAAGAAATGAAGCATATATAACGAAAAATCGTCCTCAGATGATATCCATATTAATTAAATTATACTAAACGTTGCGAAAGAAATTATTGTTTGTATCCGTCTTATCCATCGTAAAAGCGAGGGGCCGTCGCGTGACATCCGGTATATTTTAAAAACAGAGGTAATACTCAGGGGTTTCACGAGTTGTATGCAGTATTTTTCGCCGAGAAACAAGTTTAAACAATTCTTACCTTACAGTAGTTCGTTCTTTTACCTTGCATTCGACAACAAATCTGTTAAAGGCGAACAAAGCGATTCCGGCACTCTTCTTTATGATGAGTAGCAAGCCGCAGGAACTGAAGCCGCTTGACTGAAGTAAAATCCACCGATATGCACGGCATTTTCACTACAAATATAAACAAACGTCGCGGGGAAAAAAAAGACGAGGAGGAAAAAATGCCAGATCTTCGTCTCGGCAATGTATTCCAGCTACCATGCCGGTGTATCTCCAGAAGGTGGACTCGCAGTGGGACAAACCTTGTGATTTTTTTAGAAGCCCTTTGCGCGCAAACTAATTTATTCTGGCGCGAAATGAAGATTAACAATACTGAAATCTAATCCACGACAAGAAGATTTTCGCACTGTCGCGCGACATATTAAATGCCTATTTTTACAAGTACGCAGAGAAAGTGGTCCACTAGTCAGACCCCATCAAAGTGAAAGTACACGAATGAAACGGAATAAGTCTGGGACGGTTTAGTTTCTACTCAGCAGATTCTTTGCTTTTAGAACAAAAATTTAATGTTGCAGTCTGTTTTAAACGTTGGCATATCAACGCGCACAGTCACTGAATGAAAACAACAGTCACGATCACGTTCTTCGAAACCGACCAGACGCGCGCGACCTACCACTGTTATGGTAAGCAATTATCCTGAAGGTGTTAATGTTCCTGTGACAGTCTTCGCACTGATGGTGTAAATAGTAAACCGAACGGTCGCTTTGATCATCAGAAAGACCTGTCAACTTTGATGATTTAACTGATTAAATTACGGGACAGAAATTTTACTGCTTGCGGCTCCTCGTGGCTTGAAGGCACGAATACAGATCGTAAAGGCAGGAACTTATTAATTAACAGTTAAATAAGTAGGCGCTGTGCATTAGCATCAAAACATGTGGTAATTGTGTTGAACATCTCGCTAAATCAGCACTAACAAAAAGTTTAAAGCATTGGAGTTCCAACTCGTAGAAACTTTCATACATGTTAGATTAACGAAGTGCTAAACGAGAATTGTTGGAAAAGAAATGCTTTAATAGGGTGATCCGCTTTTTATGTCTGACTGTATTAATTTATGAGCTGTCTAGAATGTACGGCTGATGTCATAGAAAAATATTTCCGCGTGTTATCTAACAACAGTGACTCATACTTTTGAAAGGCTTCAAATAACGTTTAACAGACAGCTGTTTTCAAGGAAGATAAAGAAGAGAACCAGACGAAATGTAGTTTAAGTCACTCTTCGAACCGTTGAGGGCTACAAAGTTAGTGTCATGGTTTACGCTTTCTTTTCTATTAATTTTTGCATAAAACAGTACTTTTTCGCTGTGGGTTTGTCAAATCAAATTATAGATCACAGACTTTCAAATTGTGGTACGACTGCTTTTTGGGAAAAGAACAAGAGTGAGCTACACGCCTGAGGTTTGGCGTGCGACTCGCTCAGTGCCATATGATGGTTCTCTCGAGTTCTTACCACATTTTGACATCATTTGCAGGGGCGTATATACCTGTACGCCCAGTAAACAGAACAAAACCGAATAGAGAAGAAAAGCAAGAGGAAGGAAGGTAAATAAAACGGAAGTTGAGAAAAATACCCATTTACCTAATTTACAGCTCCCCTCTAGCCTCTTTCAGATAATTGTTTTCGATAAATGCTGTGTTTTACCGCTTAGCCGCGAATGCTGCTGCCTGGAGAACACGGTTTTCATCATACCGATAAAACAGTGATGATAAAAAAAGGGAATGTAATACAATCACCCTCGTAAAAACGACTTAGGAGACGGGTTAGGATTGATTTGGGAAATTGTGCGTATCTCGACTCGAAAAGTGCACCGTAACTGAGCAAATGCAAGGCAAAATTTATTAACTAGTGTCTGAACAGGAACGAATTGCGTCAAAGCCGTAAGCCAAGGCCATTAACAGAATCTGTTTGCATTACTTAGCGGAACATTTTAGTGACAGGAAACGTTAGGTTAACACGCTGGTCCAATATATGAGGACAGAGCTGCAAGTTGATGAATTCTTTCCTTTAATTAGTCTTTGATTATAGTCATATTGATCTTGGACGAGATTTAGCATCGACTGGGGTCTTTCGAAAGATATCCTCGATCGAGAAACGATCTTTGGATGCTCTCTATTGGAAGGGAAAGCAAAAACATTATGTACACAGTGTTGAGCTGCGTTCATGTTCATAGCCTCTTTTAAGATAATCATATGGAAGTTTTCCCTGTTTATTAAACGGTTGTTAAAAAATCATAGTGAACATAATATTTTGTTTGGCCATGTTTGGTACGTCCTAGAATGTCCGTTTTGCCTTGCACGTGATTCGCCGATATCATCGTTTAGCATTGGACAATTGCAAATGTCTACACATTTTTTAAAAGCAGAATTCTATAATTTGATATCCCGGCTGGACGAGAACGCCACCTTATTCAGTTCTCTTTTATCTGCAAATGTCGAGGCCGAAAGCGTGAGAAGGTACAGAATGGCATGGGAAGCTTTACAAGCGATATTGGCATTTTGCTACACCAACGCATAGAAAGAGGAAATTAAAGATGACAGAAGGAAAAAGTAATCTATCTTACAGTTTAAATATTTAGATTTTTGAAACGACCCACGTAGATTTATTTTTGACTGGTCTGCGGCCTGAGTGCCGTAATTTCATGTACACAAGCCTCCCACATTCATTTCTCTAATATTCTAATTAATATTTGAACTGAGTTGAAAAAATTGAAAAAAATAAAATGCAGCTATCTGCGCATTACCGTATACTGCCCTTGTGAATTATTTCTGACATAATTTCGTGGACAGTATTGCCTTGAATTAACGTTCTTTCAACGGCAACATGATCGCAGCAAGCAGAAGACGTCACAAAACCAAATGGAGGAGCGGCATAATCAAAAATTTAACGACACCAGGCAACTTTTGTGTGAAGTTTCTTGCACATTAAAATTTTCTTTTTGATCAGCCAAGGAAAAAAAGGGCACACCAGGACGCATCAGCAGTTTATAATATTTATTTGTCGCTTTTGTACAGCTAAAATTGTGCTCAAAATGAATAAAATCGGTTTACAATGTGCCATTTATGCGTGGTGAATCTCACTTAAACATGTTTTTAAATGGGCAGTATCACCTAGAATTCTTAAATGCTTCTCGAAAATCCATCCTATAAGGTCTTGTTAAATTGAGTGTTAAAATTGTCTTTGCTCAGAGAATTTGTAGGAAAGTAACTGACTAAGACTTGAAGAGATTGGGCTGGAGATGCTTTTGACAGTGTAATTTGGGAAAAATCTCTCAAAATCCATTGATTATTATATACGTAAACGTTAACATTAATATTATTTTTTTTTTTTGGGGGGGGGAGGTTGTTCAAAGGCCATACTGTGTATCGGCTAGTGTGTCTTTAAAAAAGCCCTTTATGTACGATGGCGTCATTTTACAACCACGACCAGAATCCTTTTCTTTTTTCCTTTTATGGTAATCCCGGCGAGTTTTAATCTGCACATGAAAGCAAAACTTGGAGGGTTCTGGTAGTTGCACATGCGACCAAATCTAGCGTAGTTTTTACACGAAATCTGGAAGAAATTCAACGTGATACTGCCCGTGAAATATGCTCGCAAAAAATTGCTCCTATATCAAAATGAAAGCTGTGCGTTCTGTCGTGCTCGAACTTTCTTATCACTCCTCCTTGAGAAGATCCAAGTCCTTATACATGTAGTTATCATATAAACTTTGATCCTCTTGTCTGAAAAGCAAAAAAAGACTGCATTTCAGTTATGTCGACGTTGACTAATATAGTCGCATCTAGTCTTTTGCCCACACAGTAATTTTGAAGGAGTTATTTTTTGGGGAGTTATTTTCACTCCAAAAAGGAGTTTAAAGAACTCTTTTTCAGGAGTAAAAATGACCCCAGATATTTAGGAGTTAAAATAACTCCCAAAAAGGAGTTATCCTGTACCTAAAATTTTTACTCCACTTTCAGAGTTAAAGTACCTCCAAAAACAGTAAAAACAACCCATGTAAGGAGTAAAAATAACCCCATTTTCGGAGTTATTTTAACTCCAGACTGGGAGTCAAAAGAACTCTTTTAATTTTCAGGAGTAAAAATGACCCCAAATTTGGAGTTAAATTAGGAGTTAAAGTAACCCCAAAGAGGGGGTTATCCTGTACGTAAAATTTTTACTCCATTTTTGGAGTTATAATAACTCCCTAAAAATTACTGTGCATTGATTATGACCTTCAACCTACATTTCATACAGTGTCTCAGGAGCTTATTACCCTAATGGGCTCCTGAGTGACTATGTTTTCCCCCTTTTCCATATCTTTTAAGCATCTACGTACAACATACTTTTCTTTTTCATTGAAAGCTTAAACTTTTATTATTGAAACTCGTTAAAAATTGGAAAACTTAGCGTAACAGAACCTCTTCTTTTCAGGGGCTAACCATTTTCTGCAAACTCTGGTGACAGTGGGTTCCTATAGAAACGAAATGTGACGTCAAACATTGATGGGTGTTGTTTGCTAATTTGTTTCGAATAAAAAAAGCTTATAGTAATGATCCCTAAATTGTCTACGTATTGTCTACGTTATTTTTCAGTAAAATTTAAGCTGGATGGAGGCCATTTTGAATGACGTCACTGAAAAATTCTAAATTTGGCCTAAGAACAAGTTTCCATTCTTGAAAACTTTCGTTGCTCCTTTTTTCCCTATCCCACTCACTGCCCCTGGTTTTCAGAGGATAGTTTCAACGTAATTTCTCCTTAACTTATGGCAATAATACCCCCTACCTTTTGGCATGTCTGAAGCGGTTGTAATGGAACTTGCTGCCAGCTCTCCGGAAACCCCAAGGTTTTTTACTACTTCTACCACCGAAACTTACGGCCTTATAAATGCCACAACTAGCACCACAAGGAGAACGACGCTCTCGAACCAGTTCTCCGTCTGCTGGAGCAGGTGCAGAAGAGGCCAGGAATATAAGGCAGGCCAGGATACTAAGCAGAAAATATTTATTCATCTGCAAAAAGAAGCAAGAAAACAGGTTTTCTTAGTGTATTACCTCTAGAAGATAAGCCTAGAAGACCCTCTTCCGCTTTCCACTTTTTATTTTACGCAGCAGGAAGGTGAAACAGGAGATGAGCACCGACTGCCGTCGACCTCGTTCCCAGGGCTTTTCTCTGAAAAACAAACAAAAAAATAGGAGGGGTGCGCGGGAAGCCTTGGGTACGAGGTTGGGCCGCAGTTTGGGCCTCGTGAACGGTGGTTCGTAGGGACAAAACATTTCCCAGAATCCAAAAACACTTCCAAGTATCCAAAACACGTCCATCCAAGAATCCAAAATACAGTTCCCAGAATCCGAAAAGGTTTTGGATTCTGGGACGTGTTTTGTCCCTATGAGCTACGTTACTGATGCGCCAGGTACGCCTTTACCCGAGGCAAATCATCACTTTTTAAACAATAATAACATTGAATAAATCATTTATAGTGGTCACTTCTAAATTATACCTCCATAATTATTGAGGAAGCAAAAACAACACCACATGTAAAATATACTGCATCGGCATCGTCGGCAGATCGTATTTTTTTCTTAGCTACCGCGTCTTTTCCTTATAACTTCCATGCGGTAGCGATAATTTATCGTATTTTCGTTGGTCTCTATAATATCTTTTGAGACTTTTGTGTTTTTCACAATACGAAAACAGGTTTCTCACAAAAAAGTTCTTTACAGCTGAAATCATAAAATTAATGTATTTTTAATAGCCGAAAGTAACTCGAAAGACAAAGTGAAAGTACCACAATTGTGAGGTGGTAGGAACTCCTAATCACTACTACTACACTACTACTACACTTCTGATCGGTCATTTGTTTAGGGTAATTACAAAGGTTTTGTGTTTAAAACTGGGCAAAACCTTAGCAATCAATTCACAGTATAGTAAGAATAACGCCTCTTTACTGATCGTAGATATCAGCTTCCGCGAAACATTTCAGAAACACGTGTTACTACGTTTTCTATCACAGAAGCGCGAACTCAAACCATAATTTAGATGTTTTTGTATTATTTACAGTTTCAGATCATCCAATTGAACAGCCGCGTTTCAAAGCATACATGAACCGCAGGCTTTAAAATATTGTTTCAAGATATCTTTTTAAATATTTTTCACCTGTTTTGTTGATGTTTGGCTACAATCGTCATTTAAATGCGCTCAAAATCTGAAACACTGGATTCAGTTTATAAATTTCAATACCACGGGACGTGATATAGCCATGAATTCACCTAAGCTTAGTTCTGCTCAGTTTGTAAAGATGAATTATGTTTTTATACACTTAATAATTGAAGAAAATGTCAACGACCGCCGCTGTCGAACTACGTGATCCTATACGTGTTACAGAATTTTCCAGAACAACAGTTTGAGCTACTTTACAATGAATCTTGCATGCATGGGTTTCATAGAAATTTAAGAAATTGAAAAAGAAATTCAAACAAATAAATGAAATAAGAATTTCCTAAAAGCAAGATATATAAGGGATGTTATGGAAAAATTTCCTCTAACCTTCAGTTAACAATAAAAAATTTTAACAAAAAACGATCAAGTGAAAATTTATTCTAGAGAAAAATAAAATATGAAAATTTTTCACAAATCAAAATGCGAGAAACTCTACCTCCTTTAAAATAAATCATGGCTAGGCCGAAAGTATTATCTACTTTTAATTAGGGTTTTTTCCTTGATTGCCCGTATTCCGAATTTAGCTTGAAAGGAATTAATTCCAGCAATCACTTGTTCGGACATTCATTGCATCAGTTTCTAGAAGAAATCTGCTTGAAAAAAATATTCCAATTTAACTGTAGTTTTCAAGTGGCTCAAAACTCGCGGTAGACGAGATTAATTTTTTTCAACAGTGAAAATCTTATACGCATTCTTTTTACGAGTAATGCTTTATCAAACCGAAAATGTTTAATTAAGACATTACTAGCATTTTGTAATTTTTTAAGCGAAACAAAAAAGTAACATCTTGCAAATTTATAAATTCGTCCTGAAATGTATGGTGTGTTTCTTTCCTTGAAATAAAATTTAAATCACACGAGACTCCTCAGTCTCAAATTTTTTGAAATTTCTGACAGCTTGTACGTTGTTAGTCGAATCACTTGTAATTATGTATGAAGAAAAGGAAAGTTTGAATACAGTACTCATAATTTATTACATATTAAGTCCATCAATTACTGTACAAAAAAGTATATTTATGCTATATATTTCTTAACCGATTCAAAGAGGCAAAATCGCTGATTTTCTTGGTTATATATAAGCGAAATCTTTGAGGTTTTAATTTTTCCCTTTTAAGACTCACGTCCAATCTTTTTAACGGTAAGGGTCCTCATTTTAAAACGTTTAGCAACAAACCTCCACGCTAAAACGCAAGAAAGATGTAAGGAGTTTGTAAAGAAGATTCTCAAAAACAAAAAAAATTAAGTGAAACAAAAGGGAGTCCAACAAACCTTAGAGTAAGACCTTGGTTGATACACGATTTCTGTCTTTGATAATCCTTCTGCTAATGACTTTGTTTTCTGTAAAAAATGTATCGCAACAGACGACAATTTACTTCACAGTTATTCGCAAGCTGTCGCTATAGGAAACTTGACAAAAAGAGTATAATTGTTTCTTTTGGACAAACAAAGTAAGCCAATAACTAGGCTAATCTCCCTGATCATTGTCTACGCGGGCGCCGCTAGAATTGTCGGCCATGGTAAAAATAGATTACAATAGACGCTTAATCGTCGGAAAATCGCTTACTTTTTTTTAAAACAAATATAGTACATAATTAATTCCGTTGCACAATAGGGGCACGTTCTTTGATGATATTATTTTCGGAAACTTGGACAACCCGCTAGGAAAAAGATGTTTCTGGCGTGGAAAGACTTCATTGTCGTATTGAAGGAATTGTCTAGTAATATGTTATATAGGGGTAGGAAATTAGCCTGTGTAACTATAATCTATAGTTTGCTTAAATAACACACTCAATAAATTATAACAGTCTTCGTGTCTTGTATTATAATACTTCAGACATTCTGTGTGTTCTATCGGAGGAATCCCAATCTAACAGCGAGGGCTATTTCCATAAGGAAACAACAACTTCAACATTTATTACAAACCGCTATTGTGAAGAGCAATTCCTATTTCTGTAAGCCGGTAACGTTAGAAAAAAAAGTTGCAACATTCATTACAACTCGATGCAAAGTGTAAGTTTATTTGGGCTTTTCTCAGAAAAGCATCATCTTAAGAACAAGTTAACAAAGAAACATCGTTGCAAACAACAATTCTGAGTCTTTAAACAAAATGAAACTTTTTGAATAGAAGCTAGTGGTCAATAAGAAAGGGTTGATAACAATGTTGAAATCGCGGCTCGAACTAAGATTATAGAGTTTGTTTCTCATTCGTCTTTTTGGCGCACTTTCCTTCAAATTAATGGTAGAATTCTCTGCATTATATTGTATCCTCTCCAAATCTCGCAAAAATTACAGGCTTAGAAATTGGATAGAGTCGATGAAGCCACCTTTTCTATAGGAAGGGGGCGGGTAGTCTGAAGATACATGCAGAAGGTTGGATCCTACGCAACAGCGACGACAGTATTTAGAGAAGGATGGTAATCAAGCAAGGCATCATCCGGCAGTGAACTTCATGGAAGAACCATTTCATGTAAGCCGGGAGGAATTCCATCGGCCCGGGTATCATAAAATCTTGGTATAAGCCTATTTATTTATAAATAGAAATGTTATTCTGGTTTTAAGTCCCCCTCCCTCCCTTGCAGTTATATCATGGTTCCACCTATATGTATCTTTATTAATGATTTTTTTATTAATGATCCGGTAGCAGTTGACGTTTGAGTCTCTTCTTGGAGTGACCAGCCTGTTAAGACCTTTATTTATTCCGTGTTACTTACTAATAGACCCGGGATATAAGCACACCCACAAAGGATTAAACGGCCTGGTCTATCTATTGACCAAAGCCTCCATATATTATTTATATTGTTTGGACTTAGAAAAGACTGAGGAATCTTCAGTAGACTTTTATGAATGGGTTATGACCTTTACTTCAGCCGTAATATATAGATGTAATGATGATGTAGTACGCTATTTTTTTCTATTAAAAATAAGGCCTCCTTTTTTTCAGGGGTGAAAATGTAACTTGCTTCCAATGTATCTTCACATATAAAGTCCAAATTGGTCATGAGTAAAAAGTAGGAAAATATTTTTAGCTTGAAAATCTTGATCGTTTATTGTATTTTATATTTCAAATTCGTCCTCAGTTTTGGATTAACTCGCCAAGCAATAAGCGGGATGGTGGGTATCAAAAAAAAATTCACTGTATTGTTATTAACCATATCGCGGAATGTGACGCGCGCAATTTTCGACACTAACCTATGATGTTTTCGAATTGATGAATCACCTGTGTAACATTACATTCGCCAAGAAAAGATCCGGTGTCAACTCCTCGAATGCTGTGCATATGTTACTAAAAAGTTGACTTTTTGCCTTTTTTTATATATATAGATAATGATACCAATAGAGTGTCATAAGGTATTAGTGAAACTCGGTACTGTTATGAAAGATCAGAAGTTTACCTTTTTTCGAAGACAAGCTTCAGCGAAGACTCAGAGTACCTGTCGCCAAGTAGACTGTTAACCGATGTTGCTTCATGAAACTAAAACACAGGTCTGGAACACATTGAGAAATTTAAATGTGAAGCATTTGAGCGAGTGGGGTGCCTCTAAAAATGAAATAGAACTTTACCAAAAATGGTTTGAAAATTTTAGATAATAAGTCTTAGCGTAGGTAACTCCAGAAGTAATCATTTAGCATATTATTGAGCAGCTGTTGCAAACTTAAAATTGCCAATTCCTTGAACTAGTTATTTGCAATATAAATGCTATCAAACAAGTAGAGTTAACGGCTTTCTGTCGTTCCATTTCTTTGATGGTTAAGTTTTGTCAAAGCAGCCGTGTTGTTTTTAGTATTTTTTCTTTTCTATCTCTTTTACTATTGTAATTATAACTCCTAACGGATAAAAGAAGGCTCTATCTATTAACAAGCAATACGGATACCACACTGAGTAAAAATTGTCGTGAAGTGCATTAAAACAAAACTATATTTCCTACCTGGTTAATTGAACCTTTATCCGCACGGAGTGCAAAGTATTTTTTAATCCTAAAGGTGGATGTATACACTGTAGGCTATCATTTCTTTGTTTCTCAGCTTTGCGGAGCTCTAAAAAAGAAATTCTTTGCATCTGACGTCCCGTACGAAACGATTCCCAGGAATTCTCGGGAACAGGGTAAATCATTGTAAATCGCAAGAGTCCTCAGGATTTCTTGACAATTCTTTAGAAAGCGACATAATAGAATTCTCGAAAATTTTCAAGGGGACTATATCGGAAACGGTCAACGAGCAAGTACCATTTAAGTATTCACATTGTCGAAATCTACAGATGTTATTTAATTTGCAGTCATTGCTTTGTGTAGAGTGACAATACCATGTGAGCATAATCTGTAAGGAGAGTTTTTGTTGAACAAAGCATAGAAACCGTCATCATTGTTTCGTGTACACATACTAACGGATACTGGCTGCGATTTGGGCTGCCTCGCAACCTTGGCGCTTCTTGGGATTTTTAACTATAATTCCTCGAGCCCGATTGGGCTCTGAGTCAATAGCCCATGAGGCCGAAGGCCGAATGGGCTATTAACTCAGAGGCCATGAGGGCGGGAGGAATAATTGTTTTAATTAGTAAAATCCAACTAGTTGGTCAAAAATACCGAGACAAAACAACTTTAGTTAGCAAAACGCGATTTAGCCGCTATTGTTATGGTTTTCAGAGCCGGCGTTTTTCGCTAATAGTGGGCTATAACATATAGCCTAGTAGTAGCTCAACCAATCAGAACGCAGCATTGATAATAGACCACTAGTTGGATTTTACTAATCAGCGATAGTCACGGCACAAGGAGTCCTGGAAACGTTTAGGGTCGGTTATTTAAACGAAGTCTATCTTAAGCCGCTGTTTAACAAATTAAACGTTTGAACCTCTTCCTTAGTGGTTTATTTTAAGAGGATAAGTGCTTTCTAGTCTACTCCATATGCTTTCATAAAACTGTTCACAATTAATGGTGTTTAGACAAAACCGTTGGGCAAATTGAAAATGGCTTAGAACGCGGTTTTGTTAAACACTGGCTAAACTACTTTTAATTAACTGGCCCTTACTATTTAGAGGGATTCGGATCATGGGAAAGCTTCAAAAACGCAAAGGCACGTGGGAAGGCTCAATAATCGAGACCAATATCGAAAAAAATGTGAAATAACAGTTATAAATTTGTATTTGCGATGTGCTCTAAAAATCACTCTTGAGTTTTTTTAAAAATGGAATCAACAAGGCATTTAAAACCAGGAAAGGATTCTCCAGACCTCTATAAATGTTTTTTTCTTTTCATCACAGTCATTTTCCAAAAGATCATATAGTGCTTATTAGCGATGTATGTCCACCAAAGTTTTTCGTCAGAAACTGCTTGTGTTTAAAATTTTCATTTCGGTTTAACTTAAGCCTGATTTTCACTGGCGCATAAACATAAGCATAAGCATAAGCACAAGCACATGTGTAAGCAAGTGCGAACACCGGCGACGTAAGCATAAGCACATAAAGAACGGACATGTTTGACTAGTGAGAATGGGGTCGGCATAATCACAAGATATCGTCTTCGTCCGCCATCTTGTTTATCATCGGGTTGAGGGGAGCTGGGATCGACAATTGAGTCACTGCAATTCTGTGCGTGCGTGTGTCCTTATGCTTAATATACTTGTGCTTATCGCTTATGCGCTAGTGAAAACCAGGCTTATTTAGGGGGTTCGAACGAACCACCTGAACGACTCCTGGATCCGCCTCATTTGTTATTGAGAGACAAACGAACAAAGCCCGGTCTGGCGGTCAGAGTAGCGTGAAGTCACGTGAAGAAAGGTGTTCGGTAGAAATGATTATTGGTGTCGTAGTAATGATCTTCACAGAGAACCGAGTTATAATGGAGGTAAAACTTGTCACCCACGCAGAACCTGTAGTGGCAAACTTGACAAGCAAAGCAGTCCAGGTGGTAGATATGCTCACGAGCCCGCATTACCATATCCAGCGGTGGTATTTGTTTAAAACATTGAGAGCAAATCCCAGTAGCACCAAATAGCCTGTAGGAAGGACAAAAATCTTATTTAATACATACTTAGCAGAGGAGACTGGTTAGGAAACCCTGCAAACATCAAAGTTGAAAACAATGGTGCTGTAGGTTATTTCGGAAGTTCCCTGTTCGTGCACAATCCTTTAGTTTTGTTCACAAAGTGACTGAATAAATTAATGCAATGTTTCTATTGGTCAGTAAGTTCAAAATGATAGGAATGCTATTGAACGTTGTGCACGGTCAGGTCCAAAAAAGCTAACAAAAACCTATAAGAAAGAGTTTCCCAACCATTCCACTTCAATTAACTATATTTATAACAACAACAGCCTTCTTAAAGTATTAACATTCATGAACATTGCTACACCCTTTGGCGTTATGTGAATGGCGCTAGATCAACATCTGAAAATTCAGGTAAGTGCTTTAATTTTGCAAACTAACAGGCAACAAAGAAACAAGTTACAACTAATTATGGAGTGACTGGCCACTAAAGAACAAGACACGATAAAAACTTTCGGTTAATGCAAATATGGTAAATTAAAACGTATTTTAAAAAGAAATGTTTTAGTAGTGAGAGATCTAGTGCGAGGATGATGCGGAGAAATTGCAAAAAGACGTTTCCGCGGTCTTAAATTAAGTTTTAAAAAGTGCCTTCCAGGTTTATCCAAACGTGCGGTATTCTCTATATACAATTGGCAAAAAATTAAGAGACAATAAACTAAAGAAATTTTTGCTCTTTATCTTCTACTTGTAAATGGAAGTTCCTCCCGTCTACAAAACAAGATGCCTTAGCTGAGAAGTACAAACCTCAATGTCAGTATTTTTTGTCTGTGTAAATCATTGTCCAGACATTGAGCTCCTAATCCCGCCCGTTGACGTATTCTGCTGAGAGCTGTTTTCCGTCTTAGAAATCTCCTAATCTAATAGATATCGATTTTGCTTTTTAACAAGATTCAGCCAGACTTCACGAAAAGTATGCAAAAAAGAGAAAATATTCGATTAATACCTCATTCTATTCATTTTTTTTACCACTGGGCGTTAAGTTTACAATAAAGCGTTCAACGTGAGATATCTCGTTTTTCTGATAAGGGCAGCAACAAGTAAAAAAGATTACTGAAGCCTGGTAATTGTAATAATTTTTTAATTCTTTCTGCTTAGTTGGCTCAGCATGCTCAGCATGCCAATGTTAAGTGACGTCAAACCTTCTGGTATAGACGCAGCCCGGGCAGCAAACTGTACTTGCATACCTTAATTGAGTGGAAACATCGATAACCCTACAATAGCTTCTTGCCAGTGTTAAATATTACGTTAACACAGATGGGAATCCTTACCTGATATAATCTCGTTTACACAGGATTAAGTCTCCTTTGAAGTAAAACTTGAAGCTTAGTTCTGTAAGCTGTGTGCTGCAGTACGAGCATTTCAAACATTCTTCATGCCAAAACTGATCTAACGCTCTCAGTAAAAACTTTCCTTCGATGCTTTTGCAGCACTGTGCACAAGTCTTCCTCGGATTTTCTACCCCTGCTTTTTTGTCTTTTCTCTTGTTTTCATCGCCTAAGTGTAAAGAAGCACTTTTCATTTTAGACAAAGGTATAGTCACCTGCATAGCTAGTCTCGAGCGTGCCGTAGTGTTAAGCACGTGTCAGAGGGCGGGCGAAATATACAGTTAAACCTCTTAATTACAGACGCCAAAGAATGCGCCAAGAGTGCGCCTTACAGAGTTTTATTTATCAGTATTAAAGAGGTAGGGATGGCATGCATGAGGTTTTGTAATAATCTTTAAGAACAAGAGAACTGTCTGCAATAGAGAGGTGGCTCATAATGGTGTTATCAGTACGGAGAGATTCGATAAAGCACCATACCAAAGCCCAAAAAACTTTTATCAGGGCATAAATTAGAAATTACGTGAAGTACTATTTTTTTTTAAAAAATGTTTTTATAAAGAGACAATCAGCTGTAAAAAGCAAGGTCACTAGAACGATTTTTATGGTTTTGAAAATTCCTGTCTTGACCAAACTGTTTGTCAGTGTGAAATTCCTATGTACTTTATAACGATGCTTTTAATTGGTTTCCACAGGAAAAGAGCTAAAATTTAATTATTCCTAGTTTCAAGTGGTGCAAATTTGTTTTTATTCGTAGATCTAACTTTTAAATCTGTGGATGGACGAATTCGAATAAAACCCCTTTGTTAGTACTGTCATATCAGTGCTATTTGCTTTCTAGCATTTTACAATTTGGGATTTGGAAATATTGTCGAATTTTGACTTTTTCCCGTGAGTTATGATCCCAGTAAAAGGGCTAAAACAGTTCGAAATGATCACCATCAGAGCAACAGTGTTTCATCAAGTTTAAAACATGGCGGGCATGATGTATACAGTTACTGTAGCTGATTATTTGTACTTAGTTAACCACAACCCTTAGAGTTGGGTTATTTTGGCAAAAGTCAATCCTAGCCGGATCTTAATCACAAACGGTTGAATGATCTTAAAATTAAAGTTCATACAATGTACTAGCATATAATTATACAAAAAATCAAAGCGCAATTATTCAAAGTGGTCTTAAAATCAACTGGTCCCTTTTTCGTCCATTTTCCCCAAAATAAATATGGCTCGTGGCTAAATGAAACATTCTTATGTAAACAGATTATTTACATTAAGGGCCTCTGATCGTTTAAGAAGCATTTTAAACTGTAAAAAGGTAATGTATACGTATTGCATCGTATTGAATATAAACTGTTTTAGGCAAAATTGAAGTTATATGAAGACAAAACACTCTGCGTTTCTTTAAGAGGACAAAGGTCCGTCTCAAAAAAATCATATGTGCACCAAATTAATGTATACATTTTTCATAGAACGTATAAGACAGTTGTGTATCAGTCATTCATTAGTGGAAATTGAGAATTGATTGCTTCCGCCATCACTGCGGAATCAGTGAAGCCCGCGTTTGCGGTTTAGAAGAAACAAACTTCAAGTTAACCATAATAAAGCACACCTTTCAGACGTTCAGTAGACATATCTCGTTTACATTTGCTTTAAAACTTCACTGTGTTAAGAATCATTAATCACTGTGTGACTGGATTGATGAACTGCAATCAGTTTGTGAAATGCAACGATAAAGAGAAAATATACAAGTAAAACTGAGCACGATAAAAAGTGACAAATAGCATGATTACACTTACTACTCATTCTTGACAGGTGTAGACTGAGGTCTTGAAACCCTCGCTGGTCTATCTGACAGAGAGCTTCCCAACCCAATATTCTGAAATCTCGATAAATCAACTTTGCAAAGTGGTTGAAGATCGTGTTTCTATGCACGATGCTCATATACTGAAATTTTGGATGATCATAATCGTTATAGACCTGAAAACTGTAGCGTGCTTTCAATGTAGACTGCACACCTTCGCCATTTGCAACGTGCAGTTTAATTCAGGACCATCCGCCATAAAAAATGAGGTAACTATAAAGAGATTGCAACGTGGCTCGATGAACAAAATAATCCACACTTATTGCTAATGAACTTTATGTCATTCAAATCACATCAAAACAGGAAGCGTTTTGGCCAGTTCAAAGCAAAAATTAGAAGTTTAACCTCGAGAAACATAATCCAACTTCAATGGCACCAGAGTGGCAAATTCTTCCGGTTAAGGGCGGTGTTTAAAGTGCGCTCTCAGGAAAAAAATAAGCAGTTAGTAATAACTGTAATAAACAACGGTAAAATTAATCTGGTTTGTAACACAAACTTATTGCAAACTTTATACAAGACATTTTATCGATAAAGATTAAAAATGTTTGGAAGTGAGCGAGATCGAAGGCCTCTCATTTCTTGGAATTTTGTCCTGTATGGGTCACGAGCCAGCGAGTATCTCTACTCTGGTTAATTGAAGGTGGTATTTACGGTCGGTGAAAACCCGATTCCTGCAATCTAAGGAGCCCCTGTTTTCACGCAAACCTTACCTTATCGAGTGGTATTCTCTTGTTATAGTAAGATGTGAGGGGAGGAATGAGGTCCAGACGATATAACGTACACTCGTGATAACGAACATAGACTATTTTTCGCAGCCCCTAGGAACTTTCCTAGAGGAAAACTGCCAAGCACCTTTTCCTTTCCTTGTCTCCTCTCCTCTCTAGGGGACTTTTTTTAGTGGTATTCAGCTGGGGGTACAGGTATGCTCAGCTTAATGGAAAGCTAGAGGGGGTGGAGTAAAAGAATAGGGTAAGCGGTAGCAGGTCAGGAGTAGGAGATGACAGTCACAGGGAACAAAAGAACGAGGGTCGATATCAGAAAAATCAATACAACTACGAAACAAAATTGGATGTTCTTGACGAACAAACGGGTTTTCATCAGTTTTTACAAATAACCATGAAGGCTTGTAACTCTATCTGCGGAAATTAGGCAGGAAAGCAGGGAAGGTACCAAGGACAATGCGTAGTGACCTTCACCATGAAGATGAATAATAGCATACAACATATCCTTGATACAAAGGAAACGATACCAAGATTATATCATAATTGTATCAGATTCCTATCTGTCATGCCCCTAGGGCGGTCATTGAAATATGTCTCTTCTTTGAGGAGCCAAGTTACGAACTGACGGCTATCCTCGTGAAATGAACCCTGGACCCCGGGTTGGTTTTCATTCCCGGCTCCGGTGGGATGTCAATAGGCTACTTTCGAATTGTCAAAAATTCATACTTGACTCTGAGGCTGAAAGAAATTAATTGACCCGGAATCTCAACACAATCCCGCCGGCTTGCACAGTGCAAGGGGAAATAAGAAAAAGACGAAGTAAAATCAGTTGATGACTGTATTATTTACTAAACTGTTAAATCCTATTTTTGCAATCCTATTTTTGTTGACCGAGGTCTGAATCTGTTACTTATATACTAACAACACTATCGTATCCAGAGGCCTAAGGACTCTTGGTCTACGAGTGGCCTAAGGAAGGTATGTTTTAGTAACCCTAGCCTTAGACTTCCTAAAAGTCTTTCGCTGTCGCCCCTTTTGCGCCCTTGTCCTAATAATGATTCACAGCTCGAGCTATGGCAAGTCTAGTACCTAATTGTCTACTGCACCTATACAATAGAGCCTTCCTGTATACTAATAAATGTATTCCTGCATTTTAATCGATATTTCCTGTTTATATATATGTCTTTTCGTTTATCTAGTTATCAAAAGTAATACGGATCAGTTTAATTCTATTGCACATCATGGTACTGACCACTGAACGAAAAAATGGATTTGTACAAATTTGCTCTTTGCAAATATATCGCAAGTTTTGGGCAAAGACGGTAAATGCCACATTTGAATACCAAAAAACAGGACGTGTAATAAATTATTAGGCAAATGTGGCCATTTACCATCTTTGCCCCAGAATAGCATGCAGCCGACGACAACGACTACGACACTGAAACGCCTCACTAAAAAATGAATGCGCGTTCTCTTATACTCTTATTTGTTAATGTAGACCAATTTTGTTTGAAACTGTTAAAGTTTCTATCCAAATTCAAAAGAGAAAGGAAAATTCGTCGCCGTGTGTTCTCATCCTCCATTATAACGACGCCGTATTAGCGAGTCTTATGTCCGCGTTAGTCACCGTCGTGCATATGACGTCAAAGAAATGTACAAAACAGTGTGATGCTCTTCAGGGTCGTTGTTTTCATAAAAAACCAATTGATTTTTAATGTTTTTTAATACCAAACTGGTCGTTGTGCTTGCTGAAGCTTCCTAATGTTATTCAAAGTATCCTGTCTACTTACAAATGTCTTGCTACAAATGCACCAATCAGCGAAATTGCATAGTAGTACGATAACTTCGCCCTGACGGGCTCATTCGTTTCCTGATTGGATTGTGCGAATTTTATGTCTTCTTTGACAACGCTAAATGCGCTCCTACAGTTCGGGACGAAGTGCCGCTCAAGTTTTGTTGACTTTAGATGTGATGATGCAATTGATTGAAAAAGCTCGACAGGTCATAATAGTCCGCTTCACAGAGAACAGTGTTGAAATGGAGGTAAAACTTGTCACCCACACAAAATCTGTAGCGGCAAACTTGACAAGCAAAGCAGTCAAGATGGTAGATATGTTCACGAGCCCGCATTACCATTTCCAGCGGTGGTATGGTCTTCATACATAATGAACATACTCCAGTGGCCCCGAACAATCTGCAAAAAAACAAAGCGTAATGACAGGAATATTTCACTCACATTTTTCTAACCTTTTTTACTGCCAATAGTAGCCGAAATAAAATCTAGAGACCAAAAATAATAAAAAGTGATGCAAAAAACAAAAAGTATTACGCAGAAGTAATACAGAAGAACTTTCACAGAATTGTAAATAGGAAGCAGTGCTGAAAAAGGGGAAGGAACGTTCCCCACTTCATTGAAAATGTGTCATATAAATGTGTAAACGTAAATATCATATTATCCACTCCCCTCAGGGCTTTTCAGGGATAATTTACAACACTGGTTGGGGGAGACTGCTGCTGTTGCCAGACTGCTTAAGGTGCAGTTTACAAGTAATGAAGGAATCAGTAATGATGCCCCCATACATGAGTGTGAAAGTGAGATAGACCACTACACTGGGCACTACGTGCCCTACTCTTTACGAAGAGTGTGTGGGTTCTTTAACGTCCCACAGATTGTTTTTTTTTTATTACATGTGCAAGGGCTTGTGAGACGGGGCCTACGGTTTATCGTCCTTATCCGAGAAGACTTCGCACCACTTCCTGCTACTAAGGTTAAACCTAGCTAGTAAGGACAACGAAATGTTGATATTAGAAAGGCGTCCGCATTACAGCGATGGGAATTGCATGTATACAGTTGGTTATATCTTTGGGATCGTCAAGAACTGTCCGTATTATAGATGTGGTGATTTTATAGTGTTACGTGATCGTATTGTGTCCGTATTACAGATACGGGAAATGCACGCAGCTGGGGTCTGTGGGCCACGAAGAGCTGTCCGTAATAAAGTGGTGTCCGTATTATAGATGTGATGATTGTATTACATTAGGTGATTATATATTGTGTCCGTATTATTGGGCATTGAATGCAGTTTTGTATATCTGTGTACCAAGAGAACTGTCTTAAATGGAGAGATGTCCGTATTATAGGTGTGGTGATTGTATCATATTAGGTAATTATAATATGTTCATATGACAAATATGGCGATTGTACGCGGTTTTGTATATCTGTGGGACTCCTGTGGGACTAAGAGAACCTGTCCGTGATAGAGAAGTGTCCTTATTATAGAGGTGGTGTCTGTTTGAAGTTTGGTATATCTGTGACCACACAGCGGGAGAACTGCCCGTAATAGTAAGGTATCCGGAAAGCCAGGTGCGACTGGAAAAAGTCACGGAAAGGCTATATTTTACGTGCTACCAAAGGAATTGAGCCACACCACCTGCACTTTTTTAAACATAATTTTAGCATGTGGCAGGAAATCACGTTTCTGTCGGGCAAAACAAAAGAACCGGCAATCCCGGATGTTATGAATAACCGAGGTACCGCGGAATACAATCGGGGTGGGCTGGCTCTTCTCTCTTTCTTCTACTGGGATTTAAGGCCGTTACGGTTCAGCTACTTAAACAAGTAGTCCTCATGAGCTTTAGTCACTGCAGGCGCTCTCCTATCTATTAATTCATCTGCATTAGCCACATTTCAAGACTTATGGGAAAGAATTAAGGTCTCTTGAATGGTTCTTGCCCCTCTTTTCGAACGCCTGTCAGTACATCATAATTGAACACTTTGTTTCTTAATCTTTTCGTTGAGGGAAACGTAGCCAAGTCTTTAGCCTCCTTGTGAGGTCCATAAGCTGTGGTTGAACCTAAAATAGTGTTCTACATCTCATGGAAAAATAAACTTTCGATAAGTAAAAATAATGCACTTTTAAAAGGTCTGATAAGAGACCGTAAGAGGTTCAGTGTATGATAATATTTTTTCTTGCTAAAGTTGTTAATATCGATTGAGCAATCTTTTAATTCTGTCCGAAAACTGATACAGCCAGAAGCCATAAATATTTACCGTTTCATTTCATGACAAATGATTAAGCTGTTTTTTTTCTTTTTTGTGGATATTATTACCGATGATACACGGCTTTAGCTAGTTCCTGACAAAGCAGTTAGTTTGATTGATGCTTTTGCTTTTTTGTCTCCTCGAGTGCCAAAGTATAAGAGCAAGTTCATGAACGTTACATAATCTCCCCAGCAATTCAAACGTCGTTTAAACAACGTCCAAGCAAAAATAAGTGAAAAATTAGAAAATAAAAATAAGGATTTTGTTGATTTATTCTGTACATCTATTGTCATATATTAATTAAGGATCGTGATAGCCGGATATTTTATTTCAAAGTGCACTTGGAGATAGCCCTTGTTTTTCCTTTAGTAACTTCTTTTACTTTTGTTTCTATGCCAAGGTCACAGAGACATTGTATAACAATCGGCTAGGATGGGTGTTCTTTCTTGGTGATCAAAAAAAAAAAAAAAAAAAAAGAAAAAAATGTGGGGAGATCAAGGTAAAAAACCTTATCGATTTGCATACATCCAGCCACCAGAAAGGAATGTTCTTTAGAAAAAGTAGTTTTACAAAATACTAATAAGGCGAAGAATGTAATTAGAAAAAAAATTTTTTTTCAAGGTGCCCTGGGAGAAACCCCTTGTTTTTCCTTTATTATTTTTTTTTACTTTTGTTTATAAGCCAAGGTCACAAAAAAATTTTAAAAAAATCGGCTAGGATGGGTTTTTTTTCTTGTGGATAAAAAAAAAAAAAAAAAAAATGAAAACAATGTCAGGAGATCAAGGTTAATAGCCTTCTCGATATGCATACATGCAGGCATCTGGTAGGGATGTTCTTTAGGAAGAGGAGTTTGTCATAATACTTACTAGGCTGATGAGGTGATTTGAAGAAGCTATGACACGTTTCTCTCTGCTACCTCCACTAAACAGTAACACAATGTTTTTTTATACTTGAAATAACCAGGATGGAAATGGTTCACCTGAGAAAAGTGGGCTAACTTCTTTGAGTTCAACTTTGTCGTGTTTCTCCCCAAGTAAGGGAATTTGGATTCCGGAATCCGGTAAATTTTTTGCATCGGAGAAGTGGAATCCGGGACAATTTTGCTTGTGGAGTCCGGAATTCTTGGCTTTGGAATCCGAAAAACTGCTCAAGGAATCGCGAATCCCACTAATCCCACTGATCCGATAACAAAGGGGCTCAGTTCTTCCCCTTCTAACTTCGCTTCAAAAATGTGAAGGTGAACTACTCACCATAGCATTAAGTGAGCCCCTTAAAAACGCTGACTAAAGGAATAGCACATTTGTCTGGTTAGAACTGGGATTTTTACTTCCAGTGATCCAACAAGGCACGTTGGAGTGACAAATTCCACCAAATGAGTTTTGTAGTTTAAAGATAAAATGCGGATTACATGTTCGTTCATGGTCTTTGCCTTTATAACTTTTGTAAGATAAGAAATATGTCATTGAAGGGCTCGAATAAGGAGATAACCAGGCCTTCGACTAGGCCAAAATTCACTGGGTACTAACTAGTCCCGTTTCTTTACAGCTAATTAAAGGTCACAGTACAAGTTCTTCATGGCTAGCTTCAAAATGTCCTTGCGTTTACCAGCCTTGTTCATTCTGGCTCGCATTGGCTGGAAAATAAGCATGAGGCTTTCAGAATAGCAAAAAAAGCAGCATTTCATTAAGCTGAAAGCAACAGCAACAATTAACAACAACAAAAATTGCGTATTATTCCGACATTATTCCTTCCTTTAATGCCTGATGTTCCAGGCATAGAATTATGCTCAAATTTATGCCGGCAAAATTCGACAGACCTAATGGTGTGTTGTGGGTTTGAGTCTTGAGAATACCCATCTCGGTGCTCTTCTAGGGGTTGTTCATGAAAAGAGAAAAGCAAACCACCCTAAGTCCCAACGACAAAAATACAGTCCAACTTCTGTTACGCTTGGCACGATACAGACATTTCTCTACTACGGGCAGTTCTTTTGTTACCTAATTTGACAAACTTTATCAGTATTCACCTCCATGACAACAGAATCAAGTATAATGAGAACAGCAGTTTCGGTTCCTTTGAATAATAAACAGGAAGTCCAAAAACAATTACGACTCTCTCAGGAAAATTTTACCTGTAATGAAGCGAATAACGCTCTGTTCCATTGAAATCAATTTTGAAAAGTAGCAATGAATATATTAACGATCCGCAGGCCTGCCATCCGTTAAACTGTTTGAGGATGCCTTTTTGATAGTGCTCGGGAAAGAAAGGGATTAGTTTAGTCCGGCAGACTGCGGAGCTACATAACACCTCCAGCCAGGATAATTTTGAGCATTTGACATTATTGTGCCGCCACAGTAGGTTTTATGGGTGATGCCGGAAGGGAGATACTCGATTTCACGAGCATAATCCGATAGATGCTAGATATATTTCAAGTGAACTCTTGGAGGGAAGGAAACTGCCAAACATTGTTTCGAAACGTCATAATGACAGAACTTGAAAAATTTACGTTCCTAACTTATTAGTAATTCCCCGAATGACTTGGACGATTTGCAATCATTTCCCTCTCCTGACAAGAAGGAAGTCGGGGTTCGGCGCATGAGCTCAGTCATAAAAACCTCGTAAATAAGTCGTATCCTGAGTTAATCTTTACATCGGGGCATAAACGTCTAACTGGGCTTTTCTCCTCACTAGGAAATAGCCTTTGCTTCTTTAAACGCATTGACAGAGGATTCAGCAGTTTATAATCAACAAACGTACGTTGAAGCTATCTTGTTGATCGGAATTAAATAGCCCATCTCTCAAGTCCCTTCAACAACACTCGGCAACGTTCAACACGATGAAGCAGCGTATTTCAACATTGAAATTGGCGTTTCTTCAACACTGTTCAATATTTTTTGAACAACGCCGACGAATTAAGAAATGGTAGATCGACAAAACGTCTCTTAAGCGTGTTTATTTGGTTTGGCTAGTAGATTTCTTTGACAAATTTAGAACACCTACATCCGGTTGCCGTTTTTTTGTCATTCCCTTCGGAAACTTTATTTTTCTCTTTTTCTCGTCTTCAATTTGAGACACACCTGCGACGATATCCGGGGTTTTTGAATTTATCAGTTTTAAATTTTGATCAGTAATACGATAATAATGTAGCAGCTGGACCAACAGGCAGAAATACCTATTGTTTTCTCACTGCCTTCGATGACAATAAAATCAAAACGTAGCGTCAAACAAAAGAAAGATCGTCCCGTTAAAATGACGTAACGATGTGATCAAGAGTTAACTCACGGCAGTAATCCAGATTTGTAACAATTTTGAGTGCTTCTTCCCATGTTTGAGTTGTGAATAAGTTCCGCAAAAAGTACCTTCAGTCACATGATAATAATGTGCCGTTTACGATATATACGGGAACTTTCGTCAGGCCTAGAGACATTGGACAGCAACTATTCATGAATTGGTTGCTCAAAAAGTACTTGTTTTGAACCCGCAGTGGCTTATTTATAAACAGCTTACTTACAGTTTCATCGATTAGGTTTCACTGGCATCTGTGCATGTCATACACACGGGAATATTATAGCTTGGACGAATATTTTCTCGGCTCAAACATCTGTCTCTTTGACGCGCGCAACTGTAAGTTTTGTAAATATTTTTGCCCAACACTTTCACTAAAGATCTCAGATCGCTATCAACTGAAAATAATATTCTCCTTCCTTTGTTTGTGAATCAAGGAAGCAGGCCCTTGAGGATGCTGAAAGGCCGGTCTCCCGATCAGGCAAGAGTGGATGAAGGACCTTTGTATCCGCTCTTGCCTCAGCATGGTCGCCTGCGACGGGCAAATTACGAGCGCTCTTAAACGAGAAAATGAAGGAAATCCGTTCGGCCCCCCTTTAGTTTTCGCCGTGATTGCTCACGCTCTCGACCGACTAGGAAGCAACCTTAAAACGCCCTGATAGTAGTCTAAATCATAACAGTAAAGAAAGCGGAGCTCTCACCTGATGTAGTCTCGTTTGCAAAGAATCAAATCTCCTTTGAGGTAAAACTTGAAGCTCAGATCTGTCAGCTGGGTGCTGCAATAGGAGCATTTTAGACATTCCTCATGCCAAAACTGACCCAAAGCGCGCAGCATAAACTTCCCCTCGATCTCCTTGTTGCACTGTGCACAGACCTTTAGCTCTCTCGGCTTTCCCTTTTCCATCTTGTCATGAAGGTTGTTTTTGTCTCCTATCAGTGAGATGTGATCGTTCATTAGCATGTTTGTTTCTGTACATGCAATAATACATGTACCACGCCTCAAAGTTTCTCTCCTACTGCTCGAGCTGCAGCACTAGCCTAAAGTCTTCTCTTCGAAAGAAATCGTACGAATTGAAACTGACCAGAGCTAATCGCGTAATTGATTAATTGTTCGCCGATTGTAAAACTGGAATTTTTGTTGAGATTTTGGAGAATTTCTTGAACAAAAATTCCAGCCAGTTCATGAGACTTCTTAAACTTATTATATCTCGGAAGGTATTGCCTGACGGCGGGGTGGTCACGTTACGTTTGTTTCAAATTTGATGAAAGCTTTCAGTTAAGCTCCTAATCTAGGATTGTTTTTTATCCCTGCACGGAACAATACCGGAAAAACTCTTGACCCTCTCCGTCTTTATGAAAATTATGCAGTTTAAACTTTACCTTCGTCCATATTAAAATGTTGTTTCCCTATGCCTTATCGTTGGGCATTCCACGGATAAGATCATGCAGTTGGTAACATTTTTGTTCATTCAGCAAATATATATAAGAATATATATAAATGAAATTATAATAAATTCATCTGTGGAATTTTCCTTTTTCTCATAAATCTGCGAATGATTATTTTAATTTGTGACGCAGCCATCAAGCGTGTCATAATTAAGCGGTCTAACATATAACTCTTTAAAAGCCATGTAGTCTTAGAACGAAATAACTTGAGAATGCAGATTATCGACTCCGATCCTCGTGCATTTCTGTCTTAATTCCTCTAATACTAATTTTCAAGTTAAAGACCTGATTTCGGATTTTAACCAATTGAGGAAAGCCATTAGTAAAAATTTATTTATCGTTATTGCATATTGAAAGCTGAGCGTCGACACTTCCGTTTTTATGCCTTCGTGTTACGTGGTCGTTATGATCAGCCGTGCAGTATTCCGAACCGTGCGCTCAACTCTCTTGTAAATGTTGGAAATAGTTTACAAAATTCTTCAACATTAATTTCAAAATTTAGCGTAAAATTATTAATAGGCCCTAAAGAAATAACGAGTTAAAAATATTGAATACTTAGCTCAGTCAACTCACCCATATCTCTCTGTATTATCGGCCCAATGATTTGCAACACACTGAGTGCAGCTAGTGTTACAAAATGTTGCCTGACTTAACAAATTGGCTTGAATAAAATATTTCAGGATCGTATTTCCCAAAGCAAAATATTTGGATTTAAGTAATCTTCGATCTAAAATCAATTGTATGCTTTCAAATTGAATAACAAGCACTGGAAGTGAGGATTCGAAGCTTAGTTTTTCCGCATTCATGTTTAGTTCTTGCATTGTGGTAGATTTGTTTTTTAAAGGTCCAATAAGTTAACCACCACAGACTTAAAAATTCACGCAAAGTTTATAGAAAGGAAACTTGCATTTGCATCTCCGGAAAAATGGTCTGACTTTCAGAGACTCAAGGTTCGCCCGGTTTTCTTGGTCAAAGGGCGCGAGTCTCGATCACTGATAAATCTCGAGTCCGGGGCTACTGTAGACTGGAATGATTTTGTAAAATACCTCTTGAAGTACTCATAAAACAAGTGCCTGGAAATGAATTGTACGTATTTTTGGCAACTTCTTGGTCTTCCCTTCCCTATCATTAACACCAACCACACGCATCTTTGACAGTGGATCGGTTCAGGGTACGCTAAAACGCATTTGTTCGGCTAACGTGGAAGTGCAGCAGATAATTCGGCAGCTCCCTATTGAAAAAAAAAAAACTGACAAACAACAACAACTTTCGTACTAAAGAATTTTGTTACTAGTAATTAATTATAACATGGCCTTTTAAACTTTTAGATGAGCCATCCTAAAATACGGTTGGCTCTGAGCTGATAAGGATATCTATTTTAACCGGGTTACAAGACAAAGAAGATTTTCTGAAGGTTTTTGTGAACTTGGCGCGCTGAGCGCTAATGAGATCTGGAGTCACGTGTTTTGCTGGATCATTATCAAGAAAAGGCGAAAAAGGAAATTCCTATCTTGATATATAACAATAAATAATGTGGTGGATTCTTATTTGAAAATAGAACAGAATAGCAATGGAAGAAAACCTGGCTTCCGAAAAGGACACTTTGAGAGACAGAAACATGTAATCATCAATTATGTACGGTCAGCTACCAAGCTTAAAATAACTCCCTAGTAAGATCAAATTCAGTTTAGAAGAAACTTTCTCAATTTAACAACACCCGGCGAGTGTTCAAAAATGCTTTCGAAATAAAGCTAAATAAAGTTTAAATTTTTCTTTTCTTTTCTAAGGAAAAAAAACTTTGAAAGCAGGACATCTAGTTACTGTGATTTTGTTACGCGCGGGAAGAATCATTAAATGGCGTCCAGAATATAATTGAACTTTTTCTGTTTGTATCCAGATTGTTAAAGATAGAAGCTCGAACCTGAAAAAGCAAGGTTAATCCCAAGTGTCTATTTTATCTTTCTTTCCTTGAATAATTAGTGACAAGTCCCAATTTGGCCACTTGCCACCCACTAGCATTCCAGTCGAAGCTTAAAATCTTGGTCAAATTTTAGAATTGCATGTAATGAAGAAGCCCCCCCGGGGAGGGGGGTTACGCTACTCCCTGTGATTTCCTATAAGGGGGAAGTTCCGTCCGGCCGAAAGAGGGTACTAGTTTTTCTGGATTCAGTATATAAAAGGGTAGGAACTCCGCTAGCTTGAGTCACGAAAAATGGTACATATAAAAACAGAAGGGGCTGGACCTCGGGGCAGAGCTTACCCGTACTAAACGTTGTCGAGCAGGGGGAGGAGAAGGGGGAGGAGCAAATAGAGAAATAAAGTCCTGAAAACTCGATTATTTGCGGTTGAAAGACACTGTAGTTTTTACGACAAGATGATCACTATTACACAGGAATAATCCAACAAAAAACAATGTATGGGTAACGAGTTCTCGACGCCTTTTGATGAGAAAAATATTCTGTTGCAGGATTGGAAAATTTTGCAAATTTCTTGCCCGGCCAACTACTAAAAGGAAAAGGAGCATTTTTATCGATTTTTTCAAAGTATGGAGTGAACTAAGACAGCGAAAATGGGCTTAATATGAAACAAAGTGGGCAGGGCAGAAAACTCCCTTCAAAGAATCGAACTACCCCTCTGGAGGAAATTGTTTTAAAAAGATATTTTTATCCATTTTATTGGTTTACAATGTTCAGACATAAATATTAACTTTAAAAGAGGGGCGTCCTGCTTAGTTGGCGATAAAAGCAAACTTGTGGTGGATTAAAAAAATGCTTTCAATAAACTTGTTGGCATGTCTGACCTAAACTTTAAAGGTGACATTCTTCTATTTTGAGGGGATAGTTTTATCGAGATTTTCATTGCAAAAATGGAATTCGATTGTTAATGTTCCCGAATCATTACGCTGTTCATTACCTTGTGTGAGAGTGGTCTCTCGTGTGGTTTAATTCGTATCTAAGAAGAGATCATCCCGTGAGTACGCATGCGGGCTAAATCTATATCGTAGTAGCTCAGAGACTCAAAAATTAAACCTAAATAAAAAACATCACAAAACGCTTCGATACCTAATCTGCACTGTTGGTGAGATGCATTTATTTTCCATTTTAAGTGGGGTGGATTACAAGAAGGTATTTTCGGCCAGGTGTTTCCGTTTTTAAATTCAGCTGTTCCTATTTCCGCTTCGCGTTGCCGGTTGTCTTAACAAACCAAAATAAGCAGCTTAAGAATGCTTACGTGTTCGCTGATAAATAGCTTCTCTGGAAGCACAAGCTTTGCGTTTTTCGTTTCTCCTGATAGAAGATTTTATTTTCAGGAGGAATAATTCACTCACCTGTAAATTTTCAAGAGATACTCCGCATGAGTTATGGTAAAATCGAAGTATATACATTTGCCGGGTCCTTGTCTCATTGAGCTGCGAATAAAATCATTATACCTCCGACATTTTTTAACAGCCAAAAATAGCATTCATTAAAGGCTGGTGGTCGTTCCTTTCAGCATTTCTATTGTCGTTTCTAAATTGGTGTAATGGCCTCGCTATCGGCTACAGCTGTTCACGTCTAGTGTGAAAAACAGTACGTGCCTACAGCTGTGTATATTAGGAGAGCTGCCGACCTCGTTTCACTATTATTAGTTTTTTTCACGGTTATTCACTCTCATTGTCAACTAAAAGTCCTTTCATCTAGACAAACAGAGCTAAAATGACTTCTGGTGGTATAATCGACTTGGTTTTTAAATTTCACAGGTGATTGATCTGCATGGTATGGTCAGAAATACAGTGAAAACTGGACACTCTTGATGTTCCGCCGTTATCTGTAGAAAACGAGGTGCTTTGAAATGCTATTGCAGTTCCTAGTAGTTTCAATCTTTTTCAGTAAAAAAGTGTGTGAGGACGATTTATAACGCCTCTTTATCAAGAAACGAAACTGTAACTTCCAAACTTGGCAAGTTAATTCCCCGTTTGCACATCTCCCATGATACACCCTGTTTGCGCCCCCCGCCCCTTCCTTTCCAAATTTTGCATAACCTTTGTTTTTAATTTCTCCTTGGTGTTACAGAATTCTTTAAATAGAAAATGGGCAGATAAAAACAGTCCAAAGCAATTCTTATGGATAAAACTGACGTGAAACTAACTGATTAGTGTAGGTATATAAGAAAAAAAAACGGCAAGTACAGCGCATCCCGCTTTACGGACTCCTGATTATATACGGACACCTTGTTACAAGGGACAGTTGTTCTTTTCCCAAGCCCTTACATTTTCTCTAAATTTAAACCGCTTAATACGGACACCGCGTTGATACTGACACTTTTTATGACCCCCTCAGTGTCCGTACTAAGACTATCAACGGGGTTTGACTGTGAAGGGAAAACTTGGTCACGTGGTACAAGTTACATTTGCCGTTTGCTGTTTGCTGTAAAAATGACTTTACATCTCTTAAATGCTTGTGCAAAATTTTTAGGGGAGACAATGTGTATTATGGGAGATGTGCAAATAGCGAGGAGCGGTGATTGCAAATTGTTGAAGCGAACTGGTAACTTGATTTACGCGACTACTCCATGACTCCATGACTGGTGAGAGTAACGTACAGTAGGGTTTATTTCAAGAGGGGAGTGGACCAGTGGGTTGGGGTGGGGGGGGGGGGGCGGGGTTTTGGGGCCCCCCTTTAAAACTCCAAAACGGCTAATGATACGGCCCCGGAAATTACACAAAATATTATACTCATAATTTTCACCACCCAGGCATAACTTAATTGACAAAATGACGAATTTTTACTTTTTTATGACTCCACATTTTTAATTTTAATACAATGTTGTGGGAGAGGGGGGGGCGTGTACTCACGCGGTGAGTGCGAGGTTCCGGGAGGGGTGGGGGAAGGGGAGGGGGGGGTGTTGGGGGGGGGGGGGGGGGGCCGGGGGGTGGGGGGGGGGGGGGGGGGGCAGGGTTGTAGGGCCCCACTTTATAACTTCAAAACTGCTCATGATACGGTCCCAGAAATTACACAAAATATTATACTCATAATTTTCAACACCTAGGCATAACTTAATTGACACAATGACGTAATTTTACGTTATTATGACGTCACATTGTTGAATTTAATGATAGAATCCAATTTCCCTCCAAAGTAGATATAAAGCGAAAAACTACTAAATAATGTGTCTTATAAAACCAGGAAGTTGGTTAACACATTAATAATGTGTTATCACGATGACGGCATTTATCTGGACCTATCCACCACCTTGGATCCTCCATTTTGAATTAATTAAATGTATTCCATTTTACTTAAAATCTGCTTCTCCTCAAATTTGTCGCTAAAAAGCCTGGATTACATAAATGATTTGATAAAATAAGGCAAAATTAAGTGTAATTTAATAATTTGATTAGTAAAAATAGAAACAAAACTTTGCAAAATTTTGCTAAACGCGGATGTCAAAACTCGATTGCCATGGTCAACCTCGTCCCAAGCGCTTTCCCATTTTTTAGGGAAAAGCCCTTGGGACGATATCGTACGCGTCACGGCGACTTTAAAATGTTTCCAGATAAATATTAGAAAAAATCGCTAAGTTGGCGTTCACAGCTTGATCGGTTTTTATTGTCAACTTTTTAGTAAGGGGTGTCTCAAAATCGTCCTACCATTCTGAATAGGGTTAAATAGCTCCCCCATGTTGTGCGTAACAAATTCGATGTTGGACGAAAATGTTTGATCGTTTAGCCGGTGCTTCAATGGAGGTAAACGGATAGGACAATTAGAAGTTGAAATTTTTTAAAGGGATTTTGATGTGGCACTAAGACTGAAATCAGTTTTACAAATGGGCTCCGCTTAAGAATGCACTAGGAAATGTGCGTTGCTAGAAGGACAAGGTTTGAAATGCACTTGATTGGAGACCAGATGCTAAAGACAGAAATATATGAAAAGCGTAATGCAATAAGAAAAAAGTGAAAGCAAGAAAATAGCAACAATAATAGCAGAAACTACACTGAAAGAGAGCAATGATAATCTTCAATATTTTATTTACTCTAATAATCTTAATAATATTTTACCCAGTTTTATCAGTGTCAAAACGTTTAAGACGGTACATCTTGGAAATAAGTTGTTGTTGTTCCTTTATACAGCGATACTGAAAAAAAAAAGAAAATGACGCACACAACAGTGATTATCACATTCTTTTATGGCAAAAAGTAGTTGTGTAACCTTGTTGATGTAATATAATGTGGGAATTCTGTCACGACTGTTATAAGCCGCCATCTTGGATCCACCCTGTTATGCTCCCATGATGTTATTTTTTATAACACTCACAACAATTCTTGTTTGTTTGTTAGTTTTGGTTGACAATTTGTACGATTGCAAAAACTGCCCAAAACTTACTAGCCTGAGAAAACAGCTGACATTTTGCGATGCTACCACTGGCTTCCCTGGAAGACACATCTAATAAACGATTGCAGAAATTCCATACTGATGACGTGTCACTACCCAGATCCTGGGTATTGCTTCTGATTGGTTAAAGTACGGCCAATCAGAAGCACTACCCAGATCTAGGTAGTGACGCGTCATCAGTATGGGATTTCTGCAATCGTTCCTCACTGGGTAACAAGTCATCAGTATGGAATTTCTGGAGTCGTTCATCATAAGTCATTTTGCGGCGAAACCAGTAGTGGAATGGCGAAATCTCGGCTGTTTTCGCAGGCTAAAAACTTACCTGTTTTTCCTTCGTCGATGGTCATACAAAACTGCTTCGATAGGCTTGCTGCCTATCACTTCTACTGTCTGCGGTCTCACGTCTATGAAAACTTTGCGATTCCCGTGCCTTTCGTTCCCAATTTGGTTTTAATCCCAGTTTTCTGGCGACTAAACTAGAACTGGCCAACGGAGATGAGGGATTATTTTTAACCTCTAACCAGCGACGAAGTTTGTTAAAGGCTCTGGCTGAATTTTCGCCTTCATTTACTTCTGCAGCTCTCTCTTCATACTCCCGCTTGCCCTTCATGTCAATGTCGGTAGGGAAACAAAGCGGCCAGCAAGCTAAACGGTTTGGTTCGTCTTGGTTTAAGATGGATATGAGCTGATCCTCATCTGTGGAGTTTTTGTCTGACGCGCCACTGGCCACGGTAAAGACAGCAGCGGCAAAAAGAAGCATTACGCTGACTGTCGCTTTCATCTGTAAAATAACAATAAAACGTTGTCTTGTAAGGAGTTGTTTAGGAACCTGTTAGGGACCTAAGATCTGACGAGGCCTTCGGTAACGAGGACGTCAAGAAAAGCAAAGGGAGGGGGGGGGGGAGGGGGGCAAAAAACAACCTATTTAAGAGCAGTACACTTTTTCTGTTTTAATTTCACGTTTTTTGGAGGACGTAAACAGGCGACGATGAAAGTCTTCTTTTTTTTTCTGAATTTGGATTGGTTCCATTACATTTGAGAATGTAGCTGGTGGAGATAATCGCGGAAAGAAAAAAGAAAAGCAGCAAAAAAAAGGCTCATTTGCTTGCGTTTCTATTAATAAAAAAAAAAAAAAAATAAAGTGTGTTTTGTGGGGGGGTTGTTGGGGGTGTTGGGGGGGAAGAAAAGGCGGGGGGGGGCGGGAGAAAGAGGGAAAAAAAAAAAGGGGGGGGGGGGGGGGGGGGAGGTGGGCAAAAAACAACCTATTTACGAGCAGTACACTTTTTCTGTATTAATTTCACGTTTTGTGGAGGACGTAAACAGGCGACGATGAAAGTCTTCTTTTTCTTTCTGAATTTGGATTGGTTCCATTACATTTGAGAAGGTAGCGAGTTGGAGTAATCGCGATGAAGATCGAAAGAACGCGAAATCACTTTTTAAGCCACGTTTTCTCTGCCGTCGCTGTCGCCGTCCTCGGATCTTAAGGTTCCTACTTTTGTCTTCGAAAGAAGGTCGCCCTTGCTCCCAGCCAATCAACTCAAGCATAGAATTGAGTGAAAACCGTCCGCCAAGGAAATGTACACGGTGCCCATTCTACTCAGGACAAGTTTCGTCATAAAAACCGGGCCTTAGAAAGAGTTTCCTTTTATTAGATAATTAGAGAAATTCAGGTTACGATGAAAAAAAGGACAACTCCTCAAAAGACCACTTCATTTTTATGACTTTAATTACATGACTAAAAAATTAAACACTTTTCAGGTAAGGAGTTATAGCAAATGCATTTGAAATTAATTTTGAATGAAAGAGTTACAACGTCCGAAAAGAAGGAGAATTATCTAAAGTATGTTTACTTTACCAAAATAAGGTAAGCCATATACTAGTCATCCAAAGTAGTAGTCATGATGGCTTTTCATTTTTAAAATTTACTAAAAAAATTAGATTTCAAAACAGCGACAAATAAAGTTACATTTTTATGCTTGTCTTATAAAATTTATTTAATAATTTACTCGCTTGAGAAGCTCATTTTCAAAAATAGAAAACTAACATTTTGTTTTGCCTCAAATGAAGTCATATACCATAAGGATGGTAACTGGTTGTCCCAACGTTTGGCCAAAAGGTGTGCTACCCAGCCTATTCATGGAAATTGAAAATTAAATTTTAATTTGAGATGAAATTTGAAACACCACGAATAGAAAAAATTGGGGCGGGCCAAGTCTGAATGTTATTTGCCGAGAATCATTTTTGCCATGACAGCCAAACTACAACGCGAGTCAACTGACCACAACTTCTACCTAACTTTAAGAATATCTGCTAGACGCAACATTCTGAATTTGCCGACGAACAGACAAATGAAGACGGGAACCTCACATAGATCAGAGTGATTTTGAATGAATAATAAAACAATTATTGGATTCGGCTTTCGGATGTATGAAGAATTATTATGCAGATCTCGGAGCGTGTTATCGGCGCCGAGGCCGACCCTACATAATTAATAGCACGACTTTTTCCAAATTTTCTCCAAATTTGTTTGATGACACATTGCAAATTACCTCAAGACTATAAAATCTTGAAGTCCAACGATCATGTGAATTTTGTTGAGGGAAGTTATAATAAGATAACACATTCGTATACTTACAGGCATTTGCAGGATTGCTTCTAATCTCTAAAACCTCGTGAACTTTTTGAGTAGTCATCATAATAATGTAATTGTACCCGCATGGCATAAGGTACATTTACTTTGAGATGACCAGCATTCATAAAATGCAGTTGACATCAAGGAAATTATTGCTGTTATCTCCAGTAAATTAGATATTTAGTGTTCGGTCAATGGAAAAGATAAGAAGCCTTGTGGTCATTTTTTTAGCATGACTACGGCTAGCTCTTAAATCTGAGGCGAAAACATCAAAGGCCCATATGCCATTACAGGTGGTTTTGGAAAGAAAAAAACAGAACTTATTTTTACTTAAAATCATACACCGAAAAGCGCACATTGAATCATAACATCTTCAAACCTTACCTTTAAACTCTGTCACAAAGCCCAATTGAACGGTTAAAAATAGATTTCGAAAAGGTGGACGAAGAAGACGATTATCAAGAAAGTGACTTTTCCATGCTGCTGAAATGACTTATATTTTGTACCTGTTACTCTGGTGGTGGGTTTGTTGACAAAAAATTCTTTATGGTTCAGCTCCTGTTTTAATAATACACAAAGACTGAAAACCGGCTCCAATGTGCACCCTCCTACATGCGAAATTCACTTAACATCAATCGCTGACCAAGTCCTCAGGAAATTGACTTTCTTCAGAAATAATAATGAGGTAACGCTTCAGGAAATTAAGGACAATTCTTTAATAAGTGATTTTCATTTCCCGAGCTTTTGTTTCTTATTTCGACGCCTGCTCCAATCAACAATGCGGGAAATGCATGAGGAGAAATCGAACAGTGTTAATGAAACTTCAGGTCTTTTGTGCTGTTTTTGAAAGGCGCACCTAACGAATTTTTTCGAATCAGGATTTAGGACGAGTATCCATTAAAAGTTGTTTCCCTTTTGAGCACATCCCGATAGGAAATTTGCCAATACCGAATTGTTCTCATATTAATAGCATGCATCCGTTGACGTAATACCGCTTTGTTCAAATGTTAATTTAAATCTTAATAGCCTTTTTAAAAAGTAAAAAAAAATATTTAACAATTGTAACTGTACTAAGATTTGTTCAGTTTTGTTTTTGCCTGAAAGGAACCCTTTTACCAAATAATTTAAACTAAATTGTTAGCTTGTCCTCTTTTTTTACCGTTAGACTTAGAAAAAAAAAATCATGTATAAGAGATAATGGTGTATTTTCAAGATGTCTGATAAATGGTTACGCTGCTGGAAATAAAGTAAATCCTTTACAAAACTTCTTTATTCAGATCTTAATTACCATCTATGTCCAGAATAATAGTGCCATCGTTATTTTAAAATTAGCAATGAGATTAAAAATAATTGTGGCTATTATTACAGTAAAAGAAAAAGAATTAGCTTGAGAGAAAGTGTAGGTTGCATAAAAGTGGGAAAAGAATATCATATTTGCTTTTGTATTGTTCTGCGCTCTATGATATGTAAAATTAATTAAATTGTTAGAGTCCTCTACTGAATAACAGCTATTATCAAGAGAGACAACAAAAAGAACAAAAAAACTACGGTGCAGGGTCGAAAGAAAACGATACTTGCTTTTCCTGTATTGTTGCAGTACCATAACATTGACCTTAAGAATCAAAACTCTTATCAGATTTTGGGAGATAAAGTATGATGATCCCAACTATGCTATTAACTTACTCATTTCGATTTTCGACTAGACCGCACAATTCCGGGGTTCTATTACGATCGTTCGTTACAATAATAAATCAAAATGTTCTAAACGGAATGAAAAGGGTCTTTGAACGCGTTGTAAGTCTGCTTTGATTAGCTTGCTAGATGGAGATAAAGAGGTTTTTATAACGTTATTGTTTAAAATCCTTTTTTGAGCAATTTTACTCCCCAACGCTTTTGAGACCAATTATGTTAGGATTCCAATTTAATGTAAAAGATAATCGCACTGTTCTCCTGATCCTTTTTAACATGGTCAAAAAAGTTACATCTTAAGGTGGCTCGATACAGTTTTTCAAGGCCAATACCTCCCAAGTTTGAGCATAAACTACGTCGCCATAAACAAAGTTTTGGAAAAATTGCCCCACAGTTGTATTAGATAAAGATGAAAATCTTTTATGATCAGGGTTGCAATGACATTGGAGTTGTCATAGCAACGAAATGACGCTATTACCTATTTTACTTACAGAAGTATTTCTCGGCACGGGGAACTGTTCTTCCAAAATTATTCACGGGAGCTTTTTCCTCCAATAGCAGCCTCGATGTTCGTGAAGTTTAAGCGAAATCTGTAAGAGCGTTATCGAGATATTTTGGGATCAAGATTGTGTGGTTAGAAATACGGTAAAAAATGGATAATCTTGATGTTCGGCTGTTATCTGTAGAAAATGAAGCGCCTCTGACATGCAATTTCACCCGATAGTAGCTTCAACCTTTTTAAAAACATGTGTGAAAGACCGTGGAGATAGCTCCAGCCGATTGCTAGAAAGAAGGATTTGATAAGTATGTATCGAGGCGCTTTTGTTAGCGGTTTTTGAACATTTTGGTCTACTTTAACAAATTAGCGAATAATTTTTAAACCGCTCGATAGATTTTTTTAAAAAAATAAGATTCTTGAGATTAACCTTCCTTTAATATGACCCTTTAGTTTCAAGATTATTGATATATTGTAAGGCAGTAAAATAAGCACCTTTTAAGGTGTCGTGTTGCTCAATTCTTCTAAATGCTACCAATATTTTTTTAAAACTGACTTTATTATCAGCAATGGTCACTGGTCACGGCCAATTCACCGAAACCTCAGTTACTTTAACAGTGTAGTATGACCCAACCCGGAGGAGGTACGAGTTGGTAGTGTTAATTCACAGCCCCGGGAGCAGGAATAGCCAGTAGCAGAAATGTATGTTTAGATAAATATTAGCTAAAGGACGATTCGAGTTGTTCTCCCGAGAATAACAGTGTCTTAAACTTTTTAATTTGTTTATATGTTCAAGAAGAAACAAAAAGCAAACTGCGGTTATAAAAACAAGGAAATATAAGCGCATTTCTGGAAAGAAAAAAAGACTTTAACTTGACGTTTTGTATGTTCCGCCAACATACATCTTCAGAAGTAATAAACTGTGGAATAACATCAGAGTTTTATATGTTCAAGTTCGTGAACAGCAGTGGGAATTATTTTTAATCAATAGCAGCTATCACGCCAGTATGCTTTTCTCGTTCCATTTGTCTGATTTTTTTCAACCTAAACCTAATTAATGCAATCTCTGAAAACACTATTACTATGTGATGAACATACTGGCTTTAGTTACCAAGGCGAGCAATGTTCTTTATCCGATTCTAAGACACGCCTTACAACCAAAGTGCATGGGATTTTACGGCCCGTTAAGGGCCAGTTAAGGAGGTTTACCCGGTTGTCATATTTAAAATTGGTCCGGCAAAGCTTACAGTAGAGGGGTATTTGTGTGTTGCCAGGGAACCATGGTAATGGCTTTAGAGTCGAGTTGGTTTGGAGTTTCAAGTTTAAAACCAATTTAATTAATTTTCTTTTTTTTGGGGGGGGGGGGGGGGGGGGGAGGTTGGCTTCCTTTTTTTTTATTGTTTTGCTAGGGGAATATTTAAAGAGGGGGTTACAGTAATATGTTAAAGAAAAGTTTTCATGTGGTTTAATATGCCTTTTTTATATGTTTTTATTCTCTTTTTTTTATAATAACATTTAATTTTTTCAATACGTAAAAAGTTTATTTTTTATGGTTGTTGGTGTGGTTGATGGGCTCTGGTGGTTGAGTGGGGTGGTGGGTGGTTGGGGGTGGGGTTTGGTGTTGTGTTTTGGTTTTTTTTGGTTTTGTTGTTTTTTTATGTTTGTTTTTTTGTGTTTTTTTTGGGGGGGGGTGGGGGGGGGGGGGGGGGGGCTGATGTAGTCTGCCTAATTATTATGCTTTACAATCGGCAATATTTAAAAGAGGTTTCAGTACAATATTGAAAGTGAAGTTTTCCTGTAGTGTTTAATTGACCTTGTCTAACGTTTTTAATTCGCTATTTTAAGATCACGGCTAAGTATGTTGAATCATTACAACATTGTATTGATTCTACACTTGTGGCAGCAAGTTCGGTCTTGTGACTACATATGGTTTCGTTGCCGAAAAGCACTCATGCTTCCTCTAGAGACATGTTCGGTAGTAATAAATCAGTCAATATCACTTATTTCACGTATATGTAAATATATAGTTATGCAATACTTTTGAGTTCTATACCACGAATAGAAACACACGCACCCTTAGAAAGCACTGGGAAACTCTAACTTCTTATCCCACTACACTCAGCACGACGACGCAGAATGAATTAACCTTGGCATTATTTAGACGCAAAATGAACGTAAGTAAATTTTCGGGTTATATTCCATTTTTGAGAAGACCCCCTCCCCGTTCAATTGACGAACCTAGACAGGCAGCAACTGAGACTGAACCAGTTGGGTACTGTAGAATGCAAAAGCTTTCCAACGCTTTAATTGACTGTATACAAAGGATCTTTCATCCAATTCCTTCAGGTTTGTGACTGCAGTATCATGTATTAATCTCCATTTGGCGCCCACAGGAGCCTATTCTACTTCCATGTATGAGGCGGCCCCCGTACATCTTTCAGGGCTTCAGTATAGTAAAATGCATTTGAATCCACATTTCATTTGATTTAATTATAAAAGTATAATTGTCAGGGTATATCTAGCTTTAACGAGGACAAGAGTTAACTTTGCATTGGTCTAACCATCTTCTTTGCCAAAGTCAAAGTTGAGAGTAATCCTGTTTCGAAGATAGAACCTCTAACGCAGGTCTTTAACTGCTTGAGTCGTTGTTATGGTAACCCTATAAGTTACCACAAGCTGATAAATTCAGTCACAAGATAATTATATTCCTTTCTCCCCGCCATTGGTTATCATAGTGGTGACAAAATGGTGGTATAACACGTCCTTCTTTCGGCTTCGTTGTTTAAACGAGAACTAGTTAGATGTAGAACCACACCAAATATGTTTTATGAGTCATTTCATACTAGTATGTGTTTTCTCTGAAACTTCGGATCAATTGTTTGTGGTTGATCAAGGTCTTATCACTGAATCTCTGAAGGAAACCAAAACACACCCGGCTGATTTTGTCATTGGACGAATACTAGGATTTCTGGCTTCAGAATTAGTCAAATGCGTAATCTCTGTCAAATATGAAAGGACAGAAACTAGCCTACACTCTTTCTCCAAGTGCGATAATTTTTCTTGTAAATTTAGAATTTCATGCGCACGCATTTTTGGGTGCATATGGTTTGCATTGTATTTTTTGTCACCTATCTCACACCCACTCAACATATGAGGTTTTAGTACTTTAACTATATTGAAGTATATTTGACGTTTTTATAGTAGTTTTCTGGTAAGCCGATGCAGAAAAGAAAAAGTTTGGTAGTTTTATCAGACCCCCAGTGGTAAAATAGATGCGCCTTGTCATGATTTTTATAATTAAAAACTTTCATCTCATCAATTTCAGCCGGTAGCTATTCATAACTCTGTATTTTGGTTTTGTTTCGTTGTTGTTGTTTTTCGTTTTTTTCCGGTTCGATGTGAGCTTTGTGACTCGATATTAACAGAGATTGTGTTCGTAAGGAAATATCTTTTTTTTTATCAAAGTGAAGTTAGTTTTTCAATCATTCGACGTTGTTTTATGCTTTTTTACTAAACCCTCCCCAGTCACACAGTCAAAAACGCCAGCCGTATTGAATTTATAACTTGGAGTCTTGGAGAATATCCTCTGGTGCGACAATGCAAATAAAAGACTACCAAACCTTCTAAGCAATAAGGTTCAAAATATGTCACTAGATGTGCGTCAGTAAATCGTGTATCCGAGGATGGATGAATGTGAGATTCTGAATTTTTTAAATCACAATAAATTGAATTTTACCTTGTTGTGAAATCTGCTGCTTAGTTTGTTTAACAGTGAAGTGCAGACCAGTTTAAAGCCCATCTGAAAGACACTGAAGTAGCTTCCTCGCCTGTTAAAATACTTTTTATATATATACTTCTGTCGCCAGAGAATTACGTAAAGTACACCAACGAAGAGACTAGCAACGGAAGTAGAACCTTTTAATCACGAAATTAAAATTTGTAAAGGCTGGAACTGATGTGAATTATGAAAATCAGGCTAACTGGATTGCGAAGTGTCGTTGATATTAAAAAGAGAAAATAATCAGAGATAATAAAGTAATTATAACTAATGTCACGGAAAATATATTATCCAAGGTCTTAAAACGTATTGTAAAGAATATTGGGCTTCACAATATAGGATATGTGATCACCGCATCAATTAAGAACCTAATGCAATCAACTTGAAAAAGTCGGTATTTCCAGTTGTGGTCTGTTATGGCGAGAAAATCTGCCTAAATGTGGCAATTACTTGGTCATTATAAGTCAACTTAGCACTCTTTCAGAGCTGAGAAAATTGAAAGGTCCGTTAATTCTGTTTCAAAAATGGGGCCATGTTTTTGTAAACCAGGCGGCTGCAATATTTCTAAAGCTCGGTTAAGCTTCTTTTCGTGTATATGAAATCGGATGTTTTCAAGAAGCCAGAGACAAAACTGCCTAAAGTTAGCAATTATTAAGTAATATTTAGACAACTTAGCACACTTTAAGGGGAGAAAAACAGTCAAAGTGTCTATTTATGATTTAAAAGAACGAAGCTTTTCTGCATTAAATGCCGTCGTAGCATTTCTAAAGCTCAGTTAAGCTTCTTTGCGTGCAAATGTGTTTAAAAGTTTTCTAGGGAGGAGACAAATAGTTTGAAAGTGAAATCAAGATGGAGATCTTAAAAGTCAGTAATTATCCATCCTTTCTCGTGAAATGAACCCATAGGTTGTTTCTGAAATCTTCTTAACTTCTTCATGACAGTTACGTCATCAAGATAAGTTTCTAACTTATCGCGACTTTATTTCTTCCGTAAACAGTTGCAGCATCAAAGCAAATATGGAAATGCCGCACTACAATGTCCCGCCAATTTAAGTGGTAGGTAGACAAACGGAGCTTATAACACTCAAGTGTCAAACTGATATGAACTAACAATCACGCGATACATATGCCGTCCTTTTGCACTGATGCACTACTTTCCATGTATAGCTGGGTGGACCTGATATAAGGGTATCAATGGGGAGGTAGCTTTAACGGTTGACGGTTAATTTTTTCCAATTTTGACGGTTGACGGTTAAATTTTACAGCTTTTGACGGTTGACAGTTATTAAGTAGAAATTTAGTCTAAGAATTAAAGCAAATATTAATTTCTGTATAAATCAATATTAACTTTTGGGTCTTGGAGGTTGTCTTGGCCTTCGCTTTTAAGATTTCGAAATATTTTCAGATAAGCGAGTTGTAAAGTCTTGTAATGTCTAGAGACTGTGTTTTTGACAACATGGAAACTGAGTTTTCCAGTTTAGAGATTCTTCAGGAGCCTAAAGTCTATGAAGATCAGCTGAAATAGTGAAAATTGAGATACCTCAAGACTTTTTGACGGTTAATATTAATCTGCGTTTATGACAGTTGACGGTAAAATATAACTTTTTTTGACGGTTGACGGTTAAATTTTAGGCCGTTTGACGGCTGACGGTCAACCCCATTGAGACGTTAGTCTCTAATCTATCAAAGGCTGCTGTCTTTCATTTATGGCCGGCCGATAATGTTTAATTTTTTGACCCCACTACCGGTAACGTTTTTCTCAGACTTTTTTGAAAAAGAAATTCAGCCAGAACTGCCTCTTTTCACTAGCTGTCAAAGAACTTCTAAGACACATCATAGTAAACTTTTCTGTGGCAGTCAATTGCTATGATTACGAGATACGACGACTTATATTAAAGTAAGGGTGACGACCAATTTTGAGGAAAAATGCGAGGTCTTTCCACTTTTTTGGGAAGTGAAATGTAAAAAACAAAAAAACAAAAACAGCATCAAAGACAGAAAGATTAAAACATTAGGCCTAAGGCATGAATCAAATGTGCTTAGATCCTAAACTATTTGCCTGAGTTGAAATTTTCATTAAGGTCCAAGATGGCGGCCAAGGAGGGTGAAATGTTTAAAGTCAACATGGAGGGGGAATTTTTAAAGTCATCATGGAAGAGGAAAATGTTTAAAGTCAACTTGTCTAATTTTACACTCATAAATCAATGATAGGTCAAAAGTTAAGTAATGAACACGTAGGAAAAAGAAAGTTCTAGTGATTGTTTCCGGTACATTTATCAGCTAATGATTCTCTAATCAAAAATGCCAGTCACCCCGTAATGAATAAGGTTTAAAACTTTGTGAATAAATGATTTCATTTGGTTAAAGTTCCTGAAAAGAAATAGTGGAAAATGAATAATGGAAATTTTGAAGTTGGAATAATTAAATAGGGGTTGTGAAATAATGGAATAACGATTTCCTTTGGAGTTTGTTCGGTCAAGATGATGAAACGAATCTGGAGCGTGTGACTTTAATATATACTGTCTTATTTCATAACAAGTTTTCCCGCTACAAGTACACTGTTGTTTTCGGAAATGAGAGGCCAATTTGTCTACCAAAAAATAAAATAAAAGAAAAGGAAAGCACAAGGAACGAGAAGGAAGGAAAAATTCTGGAAAAATTTGGAACATTAACATTTTACCGCGTTTCGCACCAACCCCCGCTCTTATGCCTTATGAAGGACTGGGACCAAAGTCCATATGCGCATGTCAAATTTACCCTGATTTTCAAAATGGCTACCGCCGAGCGCAGAGAAGCAAGGAGAAGAAAATTGCTCCAGAACTCGGAAAATCGCTTGAAGAGAATTCTAGGAAGCCGCTCAAGTCATTCTAATACGTCCCAGCCCCAAACCGAAAAAGATGAAAGTGTCTCACAGAACAATTCTGTGGAAAGCGATGGTGTTTTCGTTGAGAGGGAAGTTCTTGACAGTGATCTTAACGGAAGTGAAAGAGCTGATAAAGTGTTACCATTAACGGATAAGACTACTGAAATGGAGCCATCGGAAGGCGTTTTTGAATCGAAATATTTAGAGGGAAATCGATTTATGGACACAGAGGTTAGACCTCCATCCGCAATGAGAGATCGGGACTCAACTTCACAAAATACTGAACAAAGAGATGAAGGCAGTTTGTCAAAGACAGCATCAAATACCGGTAGTTGGAGAGTTGTTTTGAATGTGATTCTAGCGTTTATGTTAGTGATCCATTGGTTTTATGTCAATTTGGAAGCTTTGCTTTCACTCAGTGGTAAACAAAAAACTGAAAGTTCTCCTGTAAAGCATTCAGTTCAATCACAGGTGAGATTATGCAGGGGTGACTGTGGAGTGCCCCTTTATCATTTGTTCTTTGGCTGATTACATACCCATGCCATATACTGTATTTCCTTGAATAAGCACCTACGCTCTAATAATCCCCTTCCCCGGAATAAGTGCCCGCCCTCTTGGCCAAAATATCAAACACCCCCTCCCTTGAATAAGTGCCGCCCTCCCCTCCCCCATTATATTCTTTAATAATAGGGATACAAGGAAGACCAGTAACAAAATGTCCAGTGACACTGCTGGGAAGAAATCGTAAAATTAGCAAATTTACGAAGTTTAATGGTGACACGTCCAAAGCAAGCAAAGTTGTTGCTCCAAAAAGTCTTGAAATTTTACAGACATTTGTATGATGGTGGGTACGAACTTCCCCCCCCCCCCATCATACAAACATCTATAAAATTCTGAAACTTTGCAGACCTAACATCTTTGTCAGCTTTTGACAAATCACTTTGAAACTCAGCAACTTCACACTGATTTTAAGGCGTTCTTTCCAAGTTTCAAGTTTATTTATTATATATAAAAACTATTTACAATCAAATCTGACTGACCTGCAGGTAGCTAAACTAATCGAAGTAGGTCAGTCTCACAAGTTCTAAATATCACAGATTTAAAAAAAAAAAGAGATTAACAAAGTAACAGTTTTTCAAAAAGAAAGAGAGAAACGTATAAGCAATAATGGTTCCACATTAAATCAGAAAAAGGAAAACTAATTGAACAACAAAAAAAGTAACAGTTATGATGATAGGTACTAAATATATATAGAGAAAAGAGTTGTGAGTTAATTATAATTTTTTTTACGTTTGGCCATGATTTTGTTATTATCTATGTAGTTGTCTTCGGTTTTCAATGTATACAATTAAGCTCCTTTAAGTTTTCTTCTGAAGGTCTTCTTTGATATGTTTTTAAGGCTATTTGGCATCTCATTCCTTACCTTTGTGCCAACAGGAGAGAATGCATTCTTTTTTATATCAAGTCAACAGTTGTCAAAATGCGCCGAAAACACATATCCCTAGTCATTTGTGTTTCTCAGCTGGGAAACACATATCCCTCGTGATATGTGTTCACCCACCTGGGAAACAAATATCCCTAGTGATGTGTGTTCCCCTACCAAGGAACACGTATCCCTACTGATATGTGTTCCCCTACCTGTGAAACACATATCCCTACTGAAATGTCTTCCCCTACCTAGGAAACACATATCCCTGGTGACATGTGTTCCCCTACCCAAGAATAGGTATTCCTAATGATATCTGTTCCCCTACCCAGAGGCACTTATTCCTAATGATATGTGTTTGACTACCTGGGAAACACATACCCCTAGTGATATGTGTTCCCCTACCTGGCAAAGACACATCCCTAGTAATATGTGTTCCCCTATCTAAGAAACACATATCCCTAGTGATTTCTGTTCCCCTACCTGGGACACACATATTCCTTGTGATATGTGTTCCCCTACCTGCAAAACACATATCCCTAGTGATATGTGTTCCCCCACCTTGGAAACACATATCCCTAGTGATAAGTGTTCCTCTACCCTGGAACACGTATCCCTTGTGATATGTGTTCCCCTACCTGGCAAACACATATCCCTAGTGAGATGTGTTCCCCCACCTGGGAAACACATATCCCTAGAAATATGTCTTCCTCTACCCGGGAACATGTATCCCTAGTGACATGTGTTCTCCTACCTGGTAAAGACATATCCCTAGTGAAATGTGTTCCCCCTACCTGGGAAACACATATCCCTGGTGATACGTGTTCCCCTACGTGGCCAACACATATTCCTAGTCTGTTATATGTGTTTCTCTACCAGGGAACACGTATCCCTAGTGGAATGAGTTCCCCTACCTGGGAAACACATATCCCTGGTGATGTGTTCCCCTACCTCAGAAACACATAATCCTAGTGATATATGTTCCCCTACCCAGGAACAGATATCCCTAGTGATATGTGTTCCCCTACCTGGCAAACACATATCCTTAGTGATATGTGTTCCCCTCTCTGAGAAACACGTATCCCCAGTGATATGTGTTCCCCTACCTGGGAAACACATATTCCTAGTGATGTGTGTTCCACTACCTGGGAAACACATACCCCTAGTGATATGTGTTCCTCTACCCTGGAACACATATTCCTGGTGAAATTTGTTCCCCTACCTGGAAAACACATATCCCTGGTGATATGTGTTCTCCTACCTGGGAAACACATATCCCTAGTGAAATGTGTTCCCCTACGTGGCCAACACATATTCCTAGTGATTTGTGTTTCTCTACCCGGGAACACGTATCCCTGGTGGAATGTGTTTCCCTACCTGGGAAACACATATCCCTTTTGATATGTGTTCTTCTACCTTGGAAACACATATTTCTGGTGATATGTGTTCCCCCACCCAGGAACATGTATTCCTAGTGATATGTGTTCCCCTAGCTTGGAAACACATATCCCTAGTGATATGTGTTCCCCTAGCTGGGAAACACATACCCCTAGTGATGTGTTCCTCGACCTGGAAATCACATATTCCTAGTGATATGTGTTCCTGTACCAGGGTAACACATGTCCCTAGTGATATGTTTTCCACTACCTGGGAAACGCATATCCCTTGTGATATGACTTTGTGTTCCCCTACTCGTGAAACCTTTCATAGTTTTGCAGTAGTTTTGTACTGCAATTGTTGTCAGGGCTGTCACTCAGATTTCATGTTGCTGGGTTTGGGCAATTAGTTGGTGGGAATTCAACAGTTACTGTGAAACTCAAAAAACCGTTAACAATAGAAATATTTATGGAATGTTATTGTGTTGCGAGAAATAAGCCAATAAGCCACGGGATAACTAAACCGCAAACAGCAACGGTAATTAGTTTGTTGTTTTGAGGTTTGCTCACGTGTCCTGAACTTTATTTTGGTTGGCCAGTACACAATCAATATTCCTGAAATTTTTCAGTTGTTCACGGTTTTCTGAGATTGACAGGAAGATTTTCCTTTGGTTCTATCCTTTGGTTCTTTGCTCATGATAGCCAGCTGAAATTCCAGCCTGCAGCTCGTAGTGACAGCCCTGGTTGTTGCTGTTTCAGTCAGCATGACATGGTTTCATTTGGTGTGTAACAAATTAACTTCCTTATTTCTCAGTAAGCACGTGGAGATGATAAGATTTAAGCAATGTCAGAAGACAAATGATTGTCCAGCTAACAAGTTGATTTTCTTTTTTGCAGTCTTTAATCTGGCCATTTCTTGCTTTACAATTATTTTTGGTCTGTGGCACAAGATTTAGGCAGGTATATGACTTGTATGTCATGATAGTGTAATGTGTAGTAGGAATAGGCCCTTTGCAGGGCAAGGTCACGTGACCTGTTTAATGCAAAAACTAGATTCCACTTCAACAAAATCTGAGGTGGAAAGAGCATGAGAATTAGCTAGGAAGCTAATTTTGAGGTAATCAACACATGACTCTAAGATATTACAAGTGATGGAATATCTGTATTTTACAGTTAGTAGGGTTTTTTTATGGAAAAAATGTTACACTGCAAGGTATGCAGTTGAGGGACGCGTTTTTGCATTGCTGCATACATATTCATATAATATTCACACCATAATGAAATTGCACCATTAAGAGTTTAACAGCTAAAAACTATCAGACCCAATATTTCTGTGCTGTTTCAATCTGGTATCTTAGGGTTGTATCCCATAAGTTTGGCATGAGATAAGTCTTTTGTCCCCAGCTGCAAAGGGCCTACATTGTATCTATGCTACAAATTCAGTGAAAGCTGTATAAGGTGGTCATACGTGCAGGGGTTTTAATAAGCATCGACAACCTACGAAACTGACGCGTCGGCTACTTTAATCAGAGCAGTCGGCTACTTTTCTTCCCGAAAAAGAAGCAGCTAGTTTTAAAAATGTCGTAAACAAAATAGATCTTTAAATTTGAATTAAAACGTAACCTAATTATGATGTGCTTTCAAGGTCCACTGATATGTTATGCTTTATTTACACCAGAAGCGCTTCTGGTTACACAAAAGCTGTATTTCGGTCAATTTTTCCACGTTTCTTTTTTGTCTACGCAGAATTTTTTTAAGAGGAAATGTACTTAATTTAGAATAGTGACATTTGTTCATTGCTTGTAAGAATTGATTGTGTGGCTTTGAAACGTGAATGAAAGTTATATTTTCTTGAATGAGAAACACAGTCTTTTGTTCTCAATTTAGTCCCCGGAACACTGGAAATCGCTTTTTAGGGCTCTGAAACTTTCCAAAAATTTTCTGGGGAGCACGCCTCCAGACTCCCCCAGAAGAAGGGGGCTAACGGCCCCTTGTTAATACAGTCGGTTACTCTATTCAAACCTGCTGGCTACTTCAATTATTATTGAAACCCATGTGCGTGGGACTCTCTCATTTGTATACTTAATACAGGGTGCCCACCTGTTTTGGGGTCTCTTTAATACAGTTTACACTGCAGCTTAAGAAGACCTATAGCATGAAACACTGAGTGTGGTGGAAAATTGAATTGGTTTATCATAAATCCTCTATTAAGCCCCCCGCCCCTTCTAGTAAGGCCCCTCTTTTCAGTTGAAGAAAGTTATTGAGCCCCCCAAACCCCTCCCACTTATTCTTAAAATATGATAGACTGCATCCATCACTTCAGGTGGAACGATCCGATATAGTTTATTCAAGTCCTAGAAGTCGGGATTTGTTGTTGATTTTCGGATGCGTGGCCTCCNGTGGGACTCTCTCATTTGTATACTTAATACAGGGTGCCCACCTGTTTTGGGGTCTCTTTAATACAGTTTACACTGCAGCTTAAGAAGACCTATAGCATGAAACACTGAGTGTGGTGGAAAATTGAATTGGTTTATCATAAATCCTCTATTAAGCCCCCCGCCCCTTCTAGTAAGGCCCCTCTTTTCAGTTGAAGAAAGTTATTGAGCCCCCCAAACCCCTCCCACTTATTCTTAAAATATGATAGACTGCATCCATCACTTCAGGTGGAACGATCCGATATAGTTTATTCAAGTCCTAGAAGTCGGGATTTGTTGTTGATTTTCGGATGCGTGGCCTCCACCTTCATGTACCTGAGCTTTTCCAGTGTTTGCATTCTAGTTTTTTTTATCTAGAACTGATACCATCTTGCTTCTTCGCTGTATTTAATAAGCCCCCACCCTTGTCTCTTAAGCCCCCTTCCCCCCTCCCTACCAACGTTCTTGAAATAAAGAAATGTCCTCGGGGGCCTAATAGAGGATAAACGATATATAACTATCCCAGACTGTGTAACCAATGTGATTGAAGTAAAGGGTCGTCTTACTCTTTGAGGTAGTTAAGGTCATTTTAAACTCACATTTCAATTTGTCATTAATCAGAATGAAAAATAAATGGAAAGAAATAGCGCCACGGTCCTTCGTGCAACTTTCTTGTTTTTCTGTTTTCTCTACAGACGTACCATTCTCCATTTATCTCTATGCTGACAGTAGCCCTACAGCTATGTGGTATTCCTATGCAAGTCACACACAGGATCAACTTTGTTCTCACAGCGCTTCTAGCTGCCCTCAAGGACTTTGTAGTGTTTCTCTTTTCAAGTGTTGTCTTTCATCATGTTGTTGAATATGGTGTCAGTAGTGGACTCCTGAGGCAAGCTTTGGACAGCTTTGAGTAATACTGAGGCATGTACAGGAAGTATAATTGTATCCTTTTGTCTGTGTTGAGTGCAGAATGCTACTGCATGCAGCACTGCATACAGCACCATTGGGCCGAAACAAACTTCCGTTTCCGGGAGGCGTCCGCCTTACATGGCCATGGAAAATGCCTGACTGAACAGCGGTAGTCACTTACTGCAGAGTCCCTTATTAGGGAGTGGTCCGTCTGACAGACGTGTCCAGTTATGGGACAGTTGACTTTATAAGAGACAGCTAGAAAGCTGCGAAAACTGCTTGTTTAAAGAGCAACAAGCACCGGACAAAAACCTTTAAGTTGGTACTTTCTCTCAGGCCTTAAAAATGGTAAATTCTCCTGCTTTAGATAGCGAGTCGTTATCTTCGCATCAGAGTTATCTGTGACAAAAACTGTCGTAATGCACTTTTTGTACATCATTACACAAGTTATTTTCACTCTATTTATGACTTTCATACAGTTTGCCGATAAAGTCATTAACTGTCACTCAAGTCTTGTTAAGGATTACGTTCATACAGATAATCATTTTCAACATGCATTTAAACAGTACTTAAAGTGAAACCGATCATTGTAGCCATATGTATTTGGTTAAAAGTTTTATCGTCAAGTAGGCGCAATCATGGTACGTACATGTTAGTCTCCTTCGCAGCCCCTCGGGACAGAGTCACTCAATGCACTCCGTAGATGCGGGGAGCGCATTGCGTGACCCGGCCGACCCGTCCGGTTGCTAAGGAGACTACGTACATATAGGCACTTAAAAATTAAACTGTGATACAAGGGCTCTGGCCTTGCCGTCCAGAGGCCCAGAGTTCAAGCTACGCCCCCAACGCTAACTGGATTTGTTTTTGATAGTCTTCTCGCGTTCAGTTTCTTGGCCATGCTTGTAAATAGCGATCCGGTTTGCCTCCGGTCAGTTGAGATTCTTACTTGTTATGTTTATTTCAATTTTTTGTTTATGCCCTTATTTTTGGGCGACAATGCAAACTACTGGGTACTAGTGAGAGTGATAACCCTGTAAGAATTAAATTAACAAACACATTAAACCCTAATTCTTTCGAAACCACGCATTGCAAGGCATCCATAGAATGTATTGTGATTTTTTTTGCACTGTACTAGTCGGTTTGCTTGGTACTCAACAAAGAGCTGTGAACTAAATCGTTGGGAAGAAAATGCAGAATAAATTAAAAATAATAATAATAAATGAGTGTTTCATTTTTAATCTGGTGAAATAGGGATGAATTTTTAAATTCGATTTTCTTGAGAAAAATAACAAAAAACCAAAGATGACTGGCAGAATAAACAGATCTAGAGGAAGGACCTAGGTATTAAAGCCGTTCAATGAACTTGTCGTTCATGATAATTTCGTGTTTGCATTTTCTTACCTTTGCAACAGAGTTGATTCAAATATTTAAACTACCAACGGTTCCAAAAAAATATTCATTACTAACTATACTTATAAACAGAACTCGACACGTAGAACAAGCATGAACGCTTGGTTATAGCAAAGAAATTAATCTACTTAAACTTGTTTGAGAACTGTCACGTCTTCAGCAACATAATATTAGCAAAGTCATGTCATGAACGCAAATACCTTTTACTCTTTTGAGGATACGCGAATAGTGTTTCGCTTTGTTCCTTCCTTTGACAGGTATTGTTAATAAGCATTAAAGTTCAATTTAAGGAGGCTCGCGCTCGCAAGAGCGATTGCTTGCCAATCTTTACTGTTGAAAGAACTGAACCGCAGTTTAAGCCAGGTATATACATTTAGATTATAGCGGCTCTGTAAATCATCATTAAATGATTTAAAAAACAAAAAGTGCAAAAGACACTTTCTAGGATGCAAGATTTGTATAACATTATATTTCAAAAACGCTCTTAGCTTTTTTTCCAAATTTAGTCAAGGTAAGACAACGGTCTAGACTATTAGCGCGCTAAATGATTTTAACAGATTGTTGCCGCTAGACTTCGAGAAAGTTCCCAAAATGTAGATTTCATGTGTTCGTTATTCTATCGCTGCGGAAGCGGCGGTGTCATAAAATAATGAACAAAATGTACGCTAAAATTAAGTTCAATGTTAGATATGTTGTTTCACTTTAAGTCTTTTTTGTACATGCATTACAGCCAAACTTATGAATCATCAAACACGTAGGGGTGAGACCTTGAAAAATGAGTGCGAGCCTCATTAAGGTAGCTGGAATTTTTTTTATCGACGAGTTTCCCATGGTATGCTTTGAGTCAGATTCTGAATGATTGAGGTAAGAATTTCGACAATTTTGTTTTTGTGCTTTTGCAGTCCTTCTTGGAGGTTTTTGCCTTTTTTTAAATGAATAGGCCTCCTAAATGAATTGCGGAGTACATGTCCTTTTAATGATATTGAATATATCTTGGGTTGTGAAGTATAATAAATGGAAATAAATGTCTTCCTTCCAGAAGCCACGAGTTGATAGAAGAATTCAAAGTGGTAGTTCAGAAATAATTTTTTTCGAACGCTATGTTTAGACATAAAATCGTCTCTTATAGAGTTTTCAAAAAAACGTTTCACTTATTTGCCTGTAAGCGGGCCTCCTTTATACACGAAACATAATGGGTTTTTTTCACTGATATTAGTTGCTTTGTTTGTAAATAAATCCAAATAAATGTTTTGTTTCAGAAGCATCGTGTTTTTGGAGAAAACCGTCTGCTACAGAGTCGGTATTTGATAAATTGCGATACGTGAAAAAATGTAAGAGTGCCTTGACTTGAAAGATCCTTCAGGCTTTTTGAATGCATCCAAGATTTCAATTAAGTTTTCATAATTTTACAGAATAAGATTCAGAATAAGTCATGGCGTGAGTTTGTCCAAAGGTTAACTCTGTTTCGCTTGAACTAGCAGAAATTACATGGAGTTAAAAATCAACGGTATGGGTGATGGATGTCATTTTAATTATAGAGGATGTGGTCGTATAAATACAGAATGATATAAATGAGCCGGTGGACTGTTCAAGCATTCATGTACCGTTAAGGCGGCGTATTAACAACTAAGACAGGTTGATGTAGGGGAGGCAGACGAACTAAAATCATCTTCATTTCAGAACGTAAAATATGTTTACATGATAAAACAGGATTTTAAAGTTAAAGGTTAATCTGTCATTTTAGCCAAGGTTGATTTTAAGTGAATAAACGAGAATAAGTTTTAGACTCTTAAGCTTGAAAGTCGAGTTTACTACGATATCTCCAGTCTTGGAAACGGCCCTTGTTGAGTTTGGAGATCGATTTTTTCCCCTAAAAGAAAGTTATCCTTTTAATTGCGCAGAAGATCACGACGCTTCGTATAAGCCAATGCATTTTATACACCTATTATAATTGCTCAGCATGTATCGTGTACGTCGTGGTCTCAATTTTTATTAAATCTGATCAGACTTATTGGAGCGCGAAATAGTTTACATTTGGAGATGGTAAACAAAGACCGGAGTTATGATCGGCTCGCCGGGGTTTAACTTTTTGATAATCTCAAAGGCCTCTCGCTTACAAACAACAATTGAAAGAGTATCCAGTTGTTTTCAGCTGTTGCCGAATTGTGAAAACAAGCTCTTTCAAATGGATGCCGACAAATGTTTTCATAACGATATTAAACTTTGTCTTCGTTGCCAGATCAAGTATAACTGTGTGATTTCTAAAATTTTGAAATAAAAATCACGAAAAAAAAGAAATGATGGGAAGTAAATACAATAAAATAAGGGTAATGTGTTAAAGTTTTTTTTTTCCTCGAAGAATTAGTGTCTGTGTTACAGGTCAAGATTAATTTCAGGTTAAAATTTTGTGACCTAGTTTGGTTCTCAATTTTCTTTGCCTCCTAGCCCTAATTTTTTCATGAATAAGGGTTAGCAGGGAAAAAAAATTGAGAATCAAACTGGATTAAAAATTTTTCGCCTGAATTCAATTTTGACCTGTAACATCTACGATCATGGGTAGATTAAGGTATGTTTCAGTACATAAATGATACACTTCTGAATTTACACTTGTAACAAAAACTGTAGTATCTTGCCTTAGGCAATAGGATTCCAAAAAAGAATTACAGTGGCTACGACTTATACGTTCTATTTTATTTGCTGTTTACTTATTTGTTTTTACTTTCCAATTTTTCTACGCGCAAAAAGAAAGAGATACAAAGTAGTTAGACCTTGTCAACGAAATCTTTTTTTCTATTCTCCCCAAACAATTTTCCATATTATCATTCAAATGTATCAACTTCTACAACGCATGAACGACAGATAACCTTTTATCTATTACATATCAACGGAATACTCTTAATGCGAACCAAGACCTAGATTTTTCGTCAAGTTTATTCACATATCTGTCCAAGTCATCTTGTAAGCATCTATTGCAGTGAAGAGAGGAAATCATAATTTGTTGCCTAACTGAGGTAGTTTCCCCATTTCCATGATGTATATGAAATAAATCATTTATGTATGAATTTCGGATATGAAATTAAATGAAGATGCGACATTTCCTGTGGTGAATTTTTTTTTTTCATTTAGTTTTTCCTTGTGTCGGTAACGAAAACTAATCGTGAATTGAAACTCTGTTGGAATTGCCTCAATGAAAAGATAACAGTGTCCGCTTGTAGTCAGCTTATACCACAAACACAAAGGCCGCCTTTAAACTTTTGCTCAGTGCGAAACAATTAACCGTCAACTTTTTGCGTGGAAATATTCTTAATATCTGTACGGTAGATGTATTGGGTTTTTGAGTTTGTCTACGCCGACGCAATAGCACTTAAATTCAATAGCACTTATGCCGACCCACTGTCTAACTCCTAATTCAGAGTTCTTTATGTTTCCCTTACGTGGTGGCTCCCATATTAAGCCCATAATCTGTTTGTTCTACAGTCTGTTATCTTCATGGTATCGATACAAACGGATACTTTTCAAGCCTATTTCTTGCCTGTTTGGCATTCTACATCTGGTTGAGAAGCTTGTCAAGGAGATAAGTTTATCTAATGTTTCGACCTTGAAGTCGTCTCTTTCCGAGTACTTCCATTAGCAGGTAATAACTAAGTTGCCCGTCCACATTTGTCTGAAAGCCACTCAAGACTGCCCATTTCCTATTTTGAGGTTGTTTTGTCTGGACGTTGGGTCACTCCATTTTTCCAGTGTTATTTTTGACCTGTTCTTGGAGCCATTTGAGCGCCTTGGAAGTCGATAAAGAGACGTTGTTTTTATTACCTTTTGCCAAGTCTTGTGGAGGCGTGTGTGGCCGGGCGGGTAACATCTCCAACTCCGGATCTGAAGGTCTGGGGATCTCGCCTCGCCCGTCGCGTTGTTTCATTAGACAAGGAACTTTACTCCACTTTGTCTCCCTTCACCCAGGTGTATAAATGGGTAACGGCAACACACTGCTGGGGTTAACCCTGCAATGGACTAGCATTCCATCCAAGGGGGGAGTAGCAATACTCCTAGGCGTGCTCCATGCTAAGGAAACTGGGATAAGCTCCAACCGTTTGGGCCTTTGGCTCGTGTGCGCCTTTTACTGAAACAATCCAGATGACCGCAACTAAACATTGGTGGTATTAAAGCTCATTTCTACTCCACCGGAAGAAACCCTTCTCTGAGAATGTCGCGACCAGTTTGAAATTAAAGTGTCATCAACTGTTATTGAGGGTATTTGTCGTAATCTTCGCTCATTTATGTCCCTCTCCCGAGAGATGTTGCGGCATAAAATCTTTGAGCTACAGAAGAGCTTCTTGAAAGCTAGGCGAAAGTCCCTGTTCATGCCAGTGTATATCCATGGGTTCGCACAAGAGAGAACGTAGGGAAGGAACACAATTACCCCTGCAGCCTCCATTGGAATTTCATGGTCGGTGAACGCCTCAATGAGGGTCACCACTAGAAATGGACTCCAGCAGATGACGAAAAGACTTACAATAATTGCAAGCATTTTAGTGATCTTCAGTTCTCTGAAGAAGCGTTTCCGTCGCTCGAACGTATAGGAACTCCTCTTCCCTTGGTCGTTTGAAGCTGTGCCGGGTCTCGTGGACTGCATCTTGGAAAGCTGGTTGATGGCCGCCCTGCAGATGGTCATGTAAGCGAACGACATGATGCCCAGAGGGAAACAGAATAGTGATATGAACAGAAAGATCACGTAACCATGTGTAACCTTTATGTTCTCATGAAATATCAGAAAGGAAATCCCAGCTATGAACACAGAAAATCCCCAGACAGCTGCTATGGAACGCTTGGCCAGACGCGGTGTCACCACCGTTTTATAGCGTAACGGCCTGGTGATGGCGTAGTAACGGTCAATGGAAACCAAAGTGGCGTTAACGATGGAAGCGGAACAGCAGAATGGATCAATCCATTTGGTCGTTAAATCTAGCAGCAGTACATTCTCGATGGGCACAACCTCGATTATGAGCCACGCGGGCATCGCCAGTAGAGCAACGGCTAAATCTGCTGAAGCCAATGAAACGACAAAGTAGTTTGTCACCGTCCTCAACTCGCGGAATGTGCAGACTGCCACGACCACGAAGCTATTGCCAGCAATTGTTGCGACAATGAGCAACGAGACAAAAATTAAGAAGAGAATCCTGTCGTTTGACTCTGGCCCGTAAACATCATCGGCTGATGTGTCGCTTACGTTATAATAGTCCATGGTCTTCAAACGCACCTTTTGTTGACTACAGACTCGAGACTCTGACTGTGTTGCTATCACACCGATGCGCAAATGAGAATTCTGATACAAACTGGGAACGATATCAGTTCCACCGTTGACCCGTTGTTCCAGTGAGCTTAATAAATTTTGAAAACCACTCGGCCTATCCTGTAGTGTTCGTGCAGGTTTACCGATGAATCTTGCAGATGATGGTGCAGTGTGGATCCTAGACTCTACGATCCTCGCGATAATACGCTCTCGTCGACTTCAAAGGCCTATTGCATCGATGTCACTTTTACGATTGTTTGAATGGCTATCTTTAGAAGGGCCTGCAAAATAATAAGAATGTGGACAATGTTATTAATGTCGGTGTTTTTTTCTGTAAGGCGATTCTCTATCAGTTCTCTTTGAGGAAGTTTTGAAATGCTTAGCATAGCACTATATACGCAATTTATATAGGCGTTTTTCTATTACTAGATGGCCCAAACGCAATCGCGCTACGCACATTTCCGGTAACCATGGGGTTTTTTAAGGATTTGATGTTTATTAAATTTGCATTCGAAATTAAAGTATTGTTGCGGCTTTTGAAAATTACTTCCTAAAGAAATATTATCTTTTAGTTCGCGGCTTTGTGCGTAAACAGCAAGTGGCCGCCCTATCGTTTAACATGAAGCTAACAAAATAAATGATAGTCGCAAAATTGTATTAAGAATAAACAAAAAATGTAGTGCTGCCGTTTTTAAATATTCTCCAATTTTGCCTGCTGCCAGGGAAAATTGTTGACCTCCAGGCGAAAGTGATTTCTCCTATTTTGTTATGCTTTTCGTGTATTATCAAGAAGCCATTAGGTGCCCTGTCCATTGTTATTATAACTGCGAGACACACCTGCTGAAACGAAAAAAAGGCTTTAAAAACGATTCAGGGATACTGAAACTCGGGTTACAGAAGATCGTACGAAATGTCTGTTTCCATGAAAGAACTTATGTACAGAGAATAGCGATTGGAGTCAATGCTCATATTTCGTGCAAAGTCTTTTTCATCTTTATTATTAATGTTTATATTTGGTTTTCCCTGTTAATCTATACCGCCAGAATTCTCATTTTAAACACAGTGGCTTCCGCTAAAATATTCTTGCTGCACAATTGAGAAAACATAACGCGCCAAAGGTCGGTGTTTCAAAAGGACCAAGGCATCCCCTTTACCGGTTTTACCTCAAGTTCATCCAGGTTACAGTAGTTTAGTCGACACAGAAGACTAAACGATTAGACCGCTAAAAGATAAGCCGTAGACTACTAAAAACGAAGTAAACAAACGACTTGAAAAAAGCTATTTTGATCATTTTATCCTGTTTCTATAAGAGAATGAAGACGTTGATTACAAAAGTGCACTTGTGCCGATATCATTAAACACAAGTCAGCTGACAAGTGAACACAGGAATCATATTAAAGCTATTTCAAAAAGAACATTAGCGCCCTGTGGCTGTTTTGAATTTAACCATTCATGGTTTCATGTCCCTTTTTAGATTGGTGTTATGCTCTTCGCACCAGACCACACCAAACGTTGCCAAGAATATGTTATCTACGATCTATACATAAAAAGGAATAGTAACGGGTTGCGAAAGAATAAGAACTAGTGGAGCATCTCGACCGCTAACTGTGAACTGCATGTTTCCTGAGAACGATGATTTTTCAATCGGTGACACACGTGGCTGGGAAGAAATCCGATTACTCCCAATGGGAAATGACCCTATGAACTTCTGGGCCCAGTTGTTCGAAGGTTAAATTTAACCCGGGTTTCTTTTTCTTGTGTTCAAAAGCTTTTTCTCGGATAATTTTCTCTGTTATTTTTAGAGCCTCCAATCATCAACTTGTAGAATTAAAACTGAAATGCTTTTTAAGCTTTCAAATCTGAATGCAAATCTCGCACTAACACCCATTTTTAAACAACTCAGCTGTGGTTACTATAGTCCAGATGCTCTACCACTGAGCTACAAGAGACACATGAGGGGTAAGGCCATTGAACTAGGTCCAGCTATCTGACATGTTTCTTTATAACCCTGGAATCTATCTGTATGCCGGCTAATATATTAACCCCTTCGACGCCAGTCGTCAATAATGGTGACGTACCTTAAACTTGTAATATTTGAGACTGTGGACGAGTGCAAAGGAAAAACGCCGGGGAAACAAAAGTCTGGCGGTTTTGGAAAAGTGCAACAGAGTACCAGGACACTCGCAAAGCCCGTCTGCCAAGGTTATCTTTGGGTCACTGGTGGGTATGTAATTTTCATAGCCAGGGGCTTCCACACCCCCGTGACGGTTCTAAAGGAGAGCTTCGATACGTGAACATGTATTAGATGCAGGCATGTCCCTTTTTGTCCCTTGACCCAATAGCAATGTATTTTAGTCTTTTTTTCTGATTTTCTCTGAGACGGTGTTGCCTTTTGTCATCAAATGCTTTCAGGGAATGTGTGAATATACCTGATATAGTTTTACAGATGCACGCATGTACGAAAACGAAGGGTCTAACTCTTTTTGATGACATAATTTTCAGTGATAAATTAAATGTCAGCTTGTGAATAATTTATGTATGGTGTGTTTCTTTTTATACTAAATGTATGTAGATGCTTTTATGCTCTGGTAGCAAACTAATACTTACTTCAATCGAACCGGTGCTTCAGTAGTCCGTCGCGATTGAATCACTGTTAACCACACAAGGAATTTGTCCTTCTCCGATGTAAAGAATAAACGTTTCAACTGGAAACAACTATTAAAAGAAGAAATTCATTTCTCGACGACCGCTGTGATCGTGGAAGTGAGTTTTGCTAGTGCTAGAGTGATTCGTTGAGGAGAAAATTCTTAGACGGGCCTTTTTTTTTGTTTACTGTATCCGGAATCCGTAGACAGAATTTTCTTGTTATATTCCGAGTATGCCAAGAAATATTATTTTCCCAGACAGAGACAGGAAAGGCAAACACAGGTGGAACGCGAGGCAAGGATTTGACCAATGCCCGATTCGGATGGTTTTAGTTTGCGTTGGAGATTGTTTTGTCCCTAGTGACAGTTACACCATTTCATTTATTCATATTGTTTGCTGAGTTTCACACATTTGTCTAAATATTGTTCCTTAGCCTCCGATCCTATAATAAAAAGAAGAGATGCAAAAATGGACCGGCAACATTTATGACTTAAATCGCAAAGGACAAGGGATTAGGTAATGTAAAAGCACAGTGTAAGAAGTCCAGAATGTTGCCGAATTGGTATAATTAGTTTTAATTAAGAGGAGGTTTGTAGTGCAAAGTCAATAAGCTTTCTTCCAAGATTCCCGCTTAGGCCAACTCTGTTTGGCGAAATGTTTGTCCAGACGGTCTTTCAGAACTCTCGCATATGTTTACCAATAGAAATCATGTCTGCAGTCACGTGGAAAACCAACATTTGACATGTTCTGTAGGCTGATATGATGTGATTAACTCCTTGAGTTGGTTGGTTTTGTTTTGATTTTTTTCTGAAACTACCTCCATGCGATAACTTAAGAAGGCCAGAAAATTGATTCATGATTGAACGAACGAGAAGGAGTGTAATTCCTTTGTATTATGGAATAAACAGCAGCGTCGACTGGGTCAAAAAATGGTTTTACATATAAATAATAGCTCTAATGGACCTTTTTTTAATATAATGCTTTTCTATTCGTACCATTTTAGTTGTTTTTAAAACCAAAGGAGGAAGTAATTTTTACCAACTCTCCACCGACAATTTCTTTAAATCTACGAGAAGGAATTTCAAAGTCTCGGAATGATACTAGCAATGTTACTTCTCGGAAACACAAACCAAAACAAATCAACATAAAAACAAAGAAAAAACTCCTGGGTTCAAACCTTTCACAGTCCTTTCACAAAGAAAAAACTGTACTCTTTCGATAGGCGCCCATCCCTCGTTGCTGCTTCGGTGGTAATTAAACAGCTCACTCACGTAGTCAACTGTGATTAAACGCATTGATGGCAGTTCTAAGTTTAATTTCATAGATATAAATCTTGTGGCTTGACCCTTTAATGAACGTCTTCGCCATAATGTTTTTTTTTTTTAATTCTTTCCGTTTTTCTTTGAGGTAAATATAAAGAGGATATTGCTAGCAAGAATTTACTTGTTGAAAATACTGTCAGCAAAATTATTAGAAAATTTACAGTCACTCGCAATAGCTTTTGTCTAGAAATGAGGTGGCAAGTTATATAAGTAATGGATATGGAAAATTATACACCGTCCGGTCCAAGCACTTACATAATTATTCCTCGTTTATTGATCCTAGCATCTTCTTTGTTCGACGTTATCAAAAATATATCTGACGTGTTTGATGCACTCTGTACAAAATAAGAGACAAAACTCAGTGAAAAAGAGTAAAACAAAATGATTAATTACTGCATCTTTTGATTTATTTGTCTACTTCTTAAAAAAAAATTTTTAAATTATATTTTCATTTGATGTTCAGCTTTTTCAGTTTGCAGCCGAGTGTTTTTAATCCTACGGGGAAAAAGAAAGATTAAAGAACGGATCATCATCCAAGTCGCTTTATTCATACGGCTTACGAATTTGCAAGTGAATGGTATTACGGTTTTTTTTCTAACAAATGGTGTCTATTGAAGGCAGAAATTTATCTCCTTTGAGTAAGTGAAGCTTTTTGGCAAACATCAAATGCAAATTACGTTCACATAAAAGATGTTTACCAGTCTGAGAACAATGGCACCGTTAAAGTAACCGGAGTTACGAATGTGGCCGGCACAGGTTTGGACACATCAAACGTGCAAAAAATAAAATAAGATAAAGGCAATCCTTTTTACTTGAAACAAAGCAAATATTTTCCTGAGAAACCAACCAGGGGCTCGTCGGAATGTCGTCAATCGCGTTAAGGCAACAAACTGAGTTTTGTCTTCATGAAATATATTCATAACATTGCACTCCATAAACTTTGCGGTCTACGCACGGAGGTTTTTTTTTTTTGGCGTACTTACCTGTACATTGTTTTTCTCAAAATTTCACCGCCGATTTATTTTTCTGTTTGTATTCAAAATCGGAATAACAAATGAGCTATAAAAAGGTGCAGACTGCGATCTGCACTTTCTCAAACTTGGAAACAGACTGAAATTGACACACGCTTCATGGTAAAGACATCAGTTGAAGAATGGACATAACACGTTTAGATCTTCGCTGGAGAAGTATCTACTTGCAGTCAGTCACCCTTGGAATAAATGTTATTATGAAGAAAACCAGGCTGTGAACAGGACATTCTGAATAGAAGCTGGTTAATGTAAAGTTTTGATTGTATTTGTTTAAGTTATGAAAACTGTGTTTCCAAATATAAGTATCGTATTGAATCAAGATCTAAATCTGAGTCTTCAGAGGGAGTTCGAGGCCGTGACCTTACACAAGTTACAATAACCTTGCTTTAAGTTGTATTGAATATTGCCATATGTATTGTGCACAGCTTTGCTCGTATTTTCACCCATGAAAGAGTTCGACATTTCCCTATTTATCAGGGATATTCCCAACGAGGTGTCAAAGGACAACGCTTATGACCGTGGAAAACGAAATCAAAGTAATTTAAGTCGGCAATTTGCACTTTGTTAAAAGTAAACATTATACTTTTCAGTATGTTGACGATATGCACAAAAAGATTATAGCAGCCTTTTCCATTTTTCCTCTTCGAACAATATTTGAAGTGTTTTCTTTACTTTAAATGAACAATAGGACAACGCTAACTTGACAAAAAAGTGTGGGTCAATGAATTTCATGAATAAATTAGGACTTTTCTGTTAGTGAATCTATAATTTGGAATTAGCAGCAAGGCTCGGAAAAACTAGTGCTTTGTCAAGTGTTTTGAAAAATTAAGGAAAAGATTTACGATTTTAAAAAGTTCTTCCCAAATTTTCCTTTGCGTAGGATCTTTATTTTACGATTCATAAGCGCAGATTAGGTCTAATCATAGTTATCAGTGTTTCTATTGATAACCGTGGACCACGACAATTTCGAGAATTGAGTACATCGTTTATTTTGATCGTAAACAAACACAGAATCAAGCTTTCCCTGGAGCATTTTTCGTTGGTTGAACACGAAACAATTTTTTTTTCTCGCTCTTTTTTTAATATCCGTTACTTGCTTTTTAATTTCGATTTTCCTTTCAGGTGGTTATAGTCGTTGTTTTGAAATTTGTGCTTTGAATCAACTCACTTTAATATATTAGTAAGCAGAGGAGTTTTGAGAGTATAAACGTGAAACGTTCAGGAAATTTAAAAGAAATACTTTCAATAACAAATATAGAAAATATTACAAATTTGTTTAGAAGCCTGCATGTTTGTATATATTCACGGTATCCACCATTTTTCCTTTACTAGTAGTGTTTTTAAAATGACACGAAAATGTATTGTCCCTCAAACAAGTGGGCTAATGAAAGGAAAAGTTTTAGTTCAGTCGACTTATAAACAGTGAATTATTCGATAGCCCAGAAAAAATATTATAATGCACCTTTTCGCCAAAAGAAACTGTATGTTCCTATTCAAAGGAAATCGTTTTCCTTGGAATTGATGTGTGTTTGAAGGAGTTCCCCTGAATACAGTTTAAATTGCAATAGAATCACAAGCATCTGATCATGACCTTACCTTTCTAGTAACCGTTGGCTGGAAGACGTCTCGAAGCGTCGATGTGAATCGGGGCTGTGATTTCAATCTTAAATACAACAATTTTTAAGCCCTGCCTTAAGGTGTAATAAATGTTAGAATACATTACCAGTGACGTCTAATAGAGAAGATAAAAACTACCATTAGCTTGCCATAACTAAATTATATTCAAGTCGCCCCTTGAATGCCATTAAGCTATATATTGACAAATGATTTTACCAGAATGAAGAAAAGAATATCTCTGCACGAAAGGAAGTAAGATGCGTTATATATGTTTTGAATTTGTGCCAAACTTATTAAGGAAAAATATATCCTTTCGGTGTAACTGCTCTATTCTTCTTAGGTGATTCTGTTAATCCCGTGATAACACAAAATGTTCTCTTGATTTAACTATGAAAAAGACTCGCCGATTTTTTCCGACATGTAATAAATTTTAAGAGCAACCTCCTTTTAAAAGAAGATTAAACATGCTTTGATAAGTTCCACTAATATTCAAACCTACAGTCGTGGATCAGTAGCCTGAATAAGAGTTAAGATGGCTAGTTTCACTGTCTTACTTTCACGTTACCATAAGACCATTTCAGACAGCAATACAAGTGCGTCGCTTTCATCGGCTTCTGCCCGTCCATGCGTGTGGTAAATTAAATCTCTGAGCATGCATGTCAAAAAGCTTGAGAATAACGCAAATCTTGTTTGATTTTATTTTGCTATGTCATAAAAACCTTTACAAGCTAACAATGTATTTGCCCACTAACGATGCACTCTTTTCTGAAATAATCCTGTGGGTCTAATTGACTCAATTGTTACGCAAAACACATTAAAATTATTTTGTCTTATTTTTGACATCATGTTTAATGGCCACCTGCCACTAACCTTTACGCTGGAACTACATTTGCACAGAATAGGGCTGATACAAAAGTGGTGAAATAAGATGTACGTGAAAGGCCAAAAATTATACGACGTCTTTAAAGGCGTTCAGGGTGCGTAGAGCTAAAGTTGTGAAGAAAATCACAAATACAGCGTACGAGGTCAATTTTATATCTCTATCTAAATGCGCGTGGGAAATATGCTTCGCCGTGCAGATTTCCAGCAAAATTTTATTTTAATGACTTTCAAAGCCATTCAGTATAAATTCAAATGAGTGACATCAAGCGGTTAAGGCATAATTCTTCCCATAAACAAATTTTTTTTTTAAAAAAAGGCATAATTTCGTTTTTTGTACATCATATTTTTATCTCCGCCTACTGAACCAGTGTTCAGTATTTTTTTGCACAAGACACAGCAAGCAGCTTCTAATAAAAATATTTCAAAGCACAATCTAGCAGTAAAAGTAAACATATTGTAAACAATGAGATGCATCATTTATTAACCTAAATGTAGCTTTATCATAAAGATTATAAACATCAGCATCAGCCATGACGGCATTTCGATTCTGAATGTTATAGAATCTAACAATTGCCACAAATTGCTTTTTATTACAATTTATAACCAAATTTTAAGCTACATCATATCAGCAAATAATGATTATCCTCCTCATCATCATCATAATTAGAATCGTAATCATAATTTTTAATAATGTTAATGAAAATGACAATAAAATAGTAAATGACAACTACATGCAACTTTTTGGATTTCAATCTTGTCGCTTTTATTTTGAATTTATCTCTGATAAGATATAGCCATTTGTACTCAGTTATAAATGTGAACAAAATGCTTAGTTAAGATTTCAGCGGATGTGAATTAAACGTAATTTTTTGTTATATTGAATAGAGAGATGTCTGTTTGCGTGGTGAAACGCCCAGTGATAAGTACATTAACGGCACGCAATGCGAGTATAAAGGATGCTTTCAGCAAGAATAATAATCTGATTCCATAGTCGTAAACGAAGTGGTCGTGCCGCTTAAATTGGTGTGCATAACCCGCAACACGGAACATTCTATTAAAATAAGTCAAATGAATCACATAAGGGTTAGCGGTTTTGTTTGTTTTTTCCATTCAGATGGAGATCGTTAGAGGTTGTTAAAAATCCAGCGGAAGTGTGCTTTTTATCAATAGAAATTCTCTTAAGAGCGGCCTGTAATTGCTAAACAATATTTAAGGACGCTTACTAATAGTCCATCCTGGTCAGAACTGGCCTAGTTTCCCACGCAACCGTTTTTGTCTCGCCACGCAACGCTCTTCCCAAAGAGGAGCGTTGCGTGACGAGAACTAGCAAGCCAGACCGATCATCTTGAAAATAAAATCCTTTTAGGAGAGTTTTCGCAAAAGACCCAGCACTACCGTGCATAGTGTTAAAAAAGAGCAACCTTGCTGGATAGTTCTGATTAATAGTGGAATTCTCTTTTGGAATTAAATGTGCTTGTCTAGCCGGCCAATTCCCACTGTGATAACAGGGTTCGAAATTAACTTTTGAACTAGGTTGCCCATGGGGCAACCATTTTTTCACTTCTAGGCGTCCAAGGTGAAATCTAGGCGTCACATAAACTAAGGGACTAAAAACTTGTAATATACATTAGAAAAAGCCTGTCAGTGACTAATACATGGCATGGTTTAATGATAGTTAAGAATAGTTAAGCCATTGACGGCCTTTCTTCCATTGCGTTTGAAATGTTCGCATCGGGCGTTTTGTTTAGGTTTAGACAATTCTGCCTCTGCTCGAGTTTTCTTGCTTGCTGAAAGTTCTTCAGTCTCTTTTTCAGAAAATGCGTTACATAGTTCCTTTCATTTCCTTTGAACTTCTTTCTCGTTGTCTGATGTGCGTAAATACTGCAACAAACTGTTCTGCTTTAGTGAGTCCGCCATGATTTTAAAAGAAGCACATGGCATGTACATCCGGGAATTTTCTTAGAGCTTGGGTGTTAGTCCTACTGCGCAGCGGTAAACGCAAAACAAGATGGCGGACAATTACTCCGTACACGTACGCTAGGTACGTATGAATTGTAAAGAAAAGGAAAAGAAGTGATAATTTTTACAGACTTAGTTTACCATTTATCAAGCAGAAATACTGACTTAGGATTATAATTTTCCATTATAATGATAATTGTTCATATCTTAAGTTAGCGGACAGTTTCTGTAAATGGACAGCTAAATTCTAGTCGTCCAAGGGGCAACCATGTTCAGAGATTTGGTCGTCAGGGTCAAATTTTGGTCGTCTCTGACGACTGGACGCCCGTTAATTGCGAACCCTGGATAAGCGCCCTAAGTTTTTCGAACCGTGGCGACTGTGAAACTGTATTTTTAGTTTGCATTTTGTATTGAGTATTTCAGTTATGCTATCACTGCTTGTGTCGCGATCGGTCTTCTATAACAGTGGTGGTGATAATGAAAGGGGGGCTTAGGATTTTCGGTTTTGGCCATTTTTAGGTCGGTTTTTCGGTTTTTGCACTGAAAACCTTTTTGTTGTCCGTAATGATTCCGGTTTTTTTGGGCAAAAGTACAGCAGGTTAGATTCCTCTGTGGGTCTCTATGCAGTCAGATGTTAGGCTATTTTATATGTTTCTATTTTACAGTCAATCCAGGTTAAACTGCAATGTGGGATTCTGTATTTTTGATTGAGGTTTACAGCTATAGGAGAGCTTTTTACAAACGCAAAATTTCGCCCATTGTCCTCTATTGCTATTCAATCGAAGATCTTTGTGAATTCGCGTAGACGATCGTAGGGCAGATATGCCGGTTTTACTACCATAACATTCATAGATAGTGCTAATACTGTGATGATATTAATATCTAGAATGATGATGTGATATTTTTTAGTCGGCAAAATTGAAGAACAGCTCCCCGAGTCTACCGACAGACGGCCGACAGACTTTTTGGGGAACTGTTCTTCAAATTTACCGTTTTGTCCCTATGTTCCAGATATAACTATAACGTTTGGCATCTAGACTAGGGTTTTGAAAATTGAGCTGTATAAATCTTCGGTTATATATGATGGTTTTGTATTCGGTTTTCGGTCTGATTGAAATCTATCACGGTTTTTCGGTTTTGGGTAATTTTTAGAGCGGTTTTTCGGTTTTCTATAGACCCCAACGCCCCCCTCGATAATTGGTAGTAGAAGTGGTTATCAGTGCGGAATATTATTTTTCAGCAAACTAAGGCATATTGATTAGGTCACAAAATGTTGGGCGAACTGAGATATACTTTTTGTCGCCTGTGTCACTGCCTGAATAAACATCATTCCCATATCTTCTTTGGGTTAAAATCCAGCATCGCTTGTGCCGTTTCGCATATGCCACCTAGCCATCCCCATCCCCCTCTTAGAAGTATGCATGATGTTTGACACATGGACATACAGTGGAACCTCGGAACCTCGATATAACGAAGGGCTAAGGGACTGGCAAAATTTGTTCGCTATACCGAGGTTTCGTGGTTATATCTAGGTTCTTTTTGACACATTTCACTATTACTGGGGTAAAGAAAATCGTTCCTTATACCAAGGACTTGGTTATATAGAGGTTCGTTATATCGAGGTTCCACTGTATAACGAAACCTCGGTAAAGCGAACAAATTTTGCCACTTCCTTGGCCCTTCGTTATATCGAGGTTCCACTGTAAAAGACCAGTTTTGATATGATAAAATTCATACTTGGCTGCAAGGCTTGCGGGAATAAAACAAAAGAAATCGTCTGGAGACTTAGCAATGAATAATACATTTCTTTTGTTTTGTTGCCCCAAGCCTCGGAGCCAAGTATGAATTTAAATACATCGAAACTGATCTGTTTAACCCTTTATCCCTAAGAGTGATCAACATCAAGTTTCTCCTTGTAATATCAATGCTTTGTAAAACAGAGTGGTCATGAGAATTACGGACATGATCACCAAAACTTAAACGTGTTTAATGGCCGTTTTAGTTAAGGTGTTTCGATACAGTTTTCGGAGACCATACCGATTTTCCTCAAACGCTTTTGAGGTGCTTTTATCCTTGTCCGGTCGCTATAAAATTTTCTCCACTGACTGATTTTGGATTGAGCTTCTAGGTAAAATCGATATCACCATGACAGCAATTAACAAAAAACTAGATCTAGACCTACTACTGAAAATCCGACACCAGAAACGTAAAGTTTGGTGTTCAGCAAATAAACTCCGTGAGAAGTAAAAGATTCTGTGTTTAAATCAAATAAAACGTAACTATATTTCAAACCTTATATTTTCAATGTATTGCAAACGTAATAATCACATTGAAGAAGCTTTTTTATTTTTTATATTTTATTTTTTTAATAGAAGGTATTAACTACCCTTTACGTTTTTGTCTTTCTGATGTTTGGGCTATTTAACTAGGAGTAACTCCAATTTGTTTAGCTGCCCAGTTCTACAAACAAGCTATTTTCTTTCAGATCAACAGTTTATTTAAGGCTGTGAAAGTTTCGCACTTAGTAAGTTGAACTTCGTAAATATTTCTCTGGTATAGTTAAAAATCTATACTTAGGAGATTTTTTAACACCTTTGATTTCTTATCCTTGGTTAGTCCCGAGCAGCTGAAAAAATCATACATTTTGTCAGCGATGCTCTGATTGTTTATTTTCATCATCTCTATACATTATACTGTACGTAATTGTTCTCGAGTTGGATCGAGTAAAGTTCTGGTCGTGAAAAAGTTCAGTGACAAAGATGAAAGAAGGGGATCACCAACGAGAAAAGACTCTTCTTACTCGATATCAAGAACATAACGCGGAGCATCTCTGGTGCCCGGTGCATTGGCGACTTATAGGGTACGTATTCAGTTATCGAAATCATTCGGAAACAATCCAAAAGTTCTACCTTCTCGGTAGATAGAAAATGAGTTCACCTATAATTCCAAGAATGAATGATCAGGCAAAGGTGACATATTTCTCATGGAATCTAATATTTCATGCTTGAGGATTTTTTGTATTTCTGTGGACATGATCGTTATCTGTACCTTTGGGAGTTAATTAAGTTTAGCCTTTGGTAAGAATGAAAGAGCTTTATGAGTTGTTTCAACTTATAAACCAATGAAATAAGCAAGCTACTGTGAGCCAATAGATTTCAATAAAACTAGGAATTTGATTAACCATCTCTGAGAAAAAAAGCGCATTTTCACCAATCCCTCCTTTCTGGAACCGTTTTTTGCCAATTATCATTTAAATAGCTAAAGATCAGATTTGCCACTCTTGTTGCCTATGGATGTAATAAAGCTTCACTTTTGTTTTTGGCGCTTGTGCATAAAGCAAAATTTGGAATTTTTTGCGAATCTATTTCGATCCTTCTTTCTTGCTCTCTATCTTTCCTTTCCTTACCTTCCCTATTTCTAGATTTGTTGCCCATTTTATCGTCTTTCTTTACCATGGAATTGTGACTGGCTAACCTTCTAGGATAGGGGAAAATATTTTTTGGAAAGACTAGAAGGTGATCACCGAAATTGGTAGTGGACTTTGTCCCTAAATTTTAGTCATTTTACTGGGTTTTTGTGTATAACTCTAACAGAATTGGTCAGAGTTTACAAATTGAGGCATCTTTTCAAAGTTCTATCCTCCTTGAATACGTTCCATCGGCCCAGACGCGCATAATCTGCGTTGTTCATATTGAACCGAATTGACCCGATCCGTAGCCAGGGGAATTAATTGGCACTGGTTCAACTCTTGCAGATTCGGACGGAAGTGGAATCCCGCAGAATTACACGACATCCCACCGACATGATATGGTCTTTGCAACCTACATAGCACAAATTAAAAAATTAAAAAGGAGAAACGATCTACTCACGTGGCTGCATGGAGGAACCAACTGCGACCTGCAGAGATTTTAGAGAACAGTTTGGCGCAGTGGACTTTGGGTACCCCAAGTGGCATAACATAAGTGATGGGTAATTGCGATATGCGGATGAAAGGAATGAAGAAGACAAAGGGACGAACTTCCATACAAGACCTTGAGAACAGTCTGGAAAGCATAATGCCGTCAGGATGGACTTTGTCGAAACTTGAAAGAAAAGGCTCACCAAACAGCAGAGGATCAATGGAATTTGACTTTATATCACTTAACTTAGAACTCTTACTGTGTTTGCAGCACCAACGTTCTTTATTGTTATTATAATTGTTATTGTTATTATTATTATTATTATTATTATTATTATAATTAAAGGTTTTGATTACATTATAAATAACATATTTATTATGTACTATAGGTTAAAAAATTACGGTTACTTTAAACAAAACGCCGCTAACCTATCGTGCGCACTCCATTTATCTTGGAACAGATATTAACAAGTGCCTGGTCAATAACGGTGGATGTAGTCATTACTGCAAGAAATGGGGTTCTATCTATGTCTGTACCTGCCCCGCTGGTTATGAAGTGGATTCTTCAGATAAGAATTGCATTGGTAACAAAATGACAAGTTTCAATAATTCATTTTCAATTTTTGGGTCGCGCTTTGTTTACTTCTTCAGTTCTAGTTGCTGTATTTCCACCCTGCCAGCAGATTGTTCTTCCTCTAGCTCGATTTTGGCTTACCCGAGAATTGTTTTGCATGAATCGAGTAAGATCTTTGTTGAACATTCGCTGCATTTTGCTCGGAAACAGTCTCGAACCCGGGCCTTATATAGCCGTGCACGTGGTACAGCGGGCTCAGTTATGACCATCGGTTTACCATTAAACGGATGCTTGCACTCGGAAAACCAGTTTGACGAGAGAAAACAAGATTGACTTGTCCAGAAATTGGGCTGCGGTGACTTCAAAGGCTTGACGCGATTCCTCATGCCAGTCTAGAAGGCTCTGCCCGCAGAGTGCTGCATTTTAATCACAGGTCATAAGAACTTAAATATCTCTTGTTCGCTTGTTTGTTTCAACTTCTGCTACGCTGTTTGAATGAAATTGGAAGCTCTAAACAAATTAGAGCACTGTTTAATTGTCAGCCGGAGACTTTTGTTGTGGACCAAGTGGTTTATCTTGCGATTAAAGGTTCCTTCGATCTTCCTAAAATAACCGAGACTAGGAAAGAATGGGTTGCGTAACTTATTTCATAAAAAGAGAAAAACGGAAACTTGGTAACTGCAGGATTTTATTTTTCCAACCTTACCGCTGACTAATACGCGAAGTGAAAAATGATTTTTTTCCATTTAATTTTAACAGACAGAGATGAGTGCGCACTCGCCAATGGAGGATGCGAACACAGTTGTTCAAATGCTGATGGAAGCTACACTTGTTCGTGTAATAGTGGATTTAAGCTGAACGCTAACGGTTTAACCTGTGAAGGTGAACAGAAATCTCGCACCCTCGTCATAATCTGTTTTAAAGTTTGAATCTCAGTATGAGACCAGTGCTATTCTTCTGTTAAATTAAAGCTTTCGGGGCTTTGTCAGTTTTTCTTTGACTTTTTTATCTATTCAGTTTTAGTTATTTTATTCACAACCATACACATTTTATCGTGTTTATGTTTTTGAATCATACTTTGTTTTATTTCTTGAATGTGTTTTAAGAGAAAGTGTTCATTGAAACGAGATGTTGGTTAACCGAGTGGCCCGCCCTTTGTATGAAAAGATTAATTTTTGCTAATCAATAGATACGTATTGATGAAATTTAGTGATTTGTGGTTGCTAAGGTACGATTTATGACATTCAAACCATGGTGGAATATGAATTTGCAGGTTTAAAGTAAATTAAAAATATTTTTTTCCATTTGAAGATATTGATGAATGCAAGGATGGTTCAGCCATGTGTGACCCAGAGAGCACTATTTGTGTAAACCTTGTTCCCTCATATAAGTGTATTTGCAAGATCGGATATACCACGATGTACTACAGTGACTCAACTCCTGATGCCTACAACTGCAAAGGTACTGGGGTAAAAAATACCTTTTTTCTGTCAGTTGGCAAGATCCCATCACACTGGACGTTCCATTGCTCGTTGGTCGTTCCGTCTATTTTTACTTCACTTGCCCAGAAACGTCCGCATAATCCAACATGGCGGTTTATCTTCATAAAAAGATACTCCTTGACTATTTGACTTCCAAGTTTTTTAGGCCTTGTTCGAAAGTGTATAGTGTTATCCACTGAAATGTTCTCTATCTAAGGAATATTGCAATTTGCTTTCCAGTGACGCTTTTCGAGAGACAGATCCCTTAAAAGAAAGAGGAAAATTGGGAGTTTATAAACAACTCAATTATTTCCCGATTTGCCATGTATTCTCCACCATTTGAAAGAGTCCTTGGCACGAAGTTATATACCATGTCCAAGATGAAGCCGGAAAGCACAGCAAAACAAATGCGATGTTTACTTACTGCGGTCTAAAATAGGGGTTAATTAGCCACCAAATATACCCTTTCTAAATCCGATTGTGAAAGTGAGGGCGTTTTATATTTAGCGGTAGGAACGCTGTTATCCATTCCGCTTTCCAAACAAATACCATGAGACTATCAGCGGATGAAGCTACTTAAGCAAAACGGGAGCAAAAGCTTCACTTTGTTTTGGTAAGGTTGTCTTTGCCACAGGGTTGATACGGGGGTTATTCCAGAGGCGCGGCAGTGACTCTCACAACCAAATAAGTACTATGTTAATATACTTTATTTCTGAGTGACTTACTCTTTCACTTCAGAATTCTTCATTTACTTAGCAAAGTCCTTCCTCAAGTTAACCTTCTTCTTGGTAGTTCTCTTTCTTCCTCTTTTTCTATAACTGCTTACTCCTTCTTCTAAAAGCTTACTTTTCAACAGCTCTCTATTTATTTGTTTGGTTGTCCATACGGTTTAATAATAATGCGTAGGATACAATTACGTTCTAATTAGCATACGATTAATTCGTAACCTAAAATTTCTTTGAAAAGCTTTTCTTCAGTTCTGGAGCAGGATAACTACTAAGGAAAACTAACTAAGTAAAGTTCAGTAAAAGAAACACGCTTTTGCACAGTTACTTTAAAGTTGTTTGGACCTTTTAAAGGTAAAACTCAAAGATACAAGCTTCGTTAATGGTAAACAAAGGACGACTCCCATATTCATAAATGTGGAAACAAGATAAATAGATGGGACAAAACTTCCTACCTTTAATTAATGAATACCTAAAAACGGAAGATTTTGTCAACAAACACTAGCCTTAAAACTCAAGTTTCTTCGTAAATTACTTAAAGTGTCCATTAAAAGATAAGTATTTTCCGAGGGACATCAAGTCAGGAGACATGATGTCCCATTCTCAAAAACCTTATTTACTCACGAACACACGAAATGAGAAAGTCTTAACTTAAGCTCATTTCAAACATCGTGCTACAGCCGTGCCAAGCTGGCTCGACTGTAGCACGACACTAGTACGACTTGGTTTCAGATTAATTCAGTCGAATAGAACGGCTGTTGCCGAAAACAAAACACAAAAAAGTAGAAACGGTTTAGCAAACTTTTAAATGTATTCTAATGTATTTATAATTTATGAATTGAGTTTGGCACGGCGGTAACACGACGTTTGAAACGGGCCTTAGTTACAATCCTAAAGTCATGGAATGCAGAAAGAGCGATTTTAAGGTACATGCGGGTATAGATGGGAGTTACCCTTGGTTAGTAACTAACTAAAGAATGACGTACATGTTCTGATTCCGTGCGAGATGCAGGGAAGCACACTTTTTAACATTTGTTCTTCTAAATAAAGAGTTTATTAGCAAATTTGCTTTTTATCTTATTTCATACTTATTAATGAACAGTGAAAATGTTCCGGAATCTAAAAAGCTTCCTACAACGATATATGTCAATATTCATTTCAACTTGATCAAATAAAATTTGTCAGCAATCAATCAAGATCACTTTTCATGCTTCACTTTTTTATATTTTAAATGTTGTTTATTAGTATTATGTTTGACTTATTCCGTAAGGGATACATTTGGCTAAATCGGGTGAAAAATCGGTTTCCCTTTAAAGACCATTGGGAAGATATATAGGACTTCCATTAGCTTATAATTTTTTTGATAAATCGAGGAGATAAGTCCCGTGACAGGGTAATCAGTTTAACTACTGTCACTTGCTCCCCTCTTAAAATAAAGTCTATTAATTGACTGATTGATTGATTTGCGAAACTAATTGTTGTATAAACTTTACGGCTGAATCTAATATAGTGTCATTGTTATCTGACTGTAGCTAAGACCTGTCCAGCCCTGATTGAAGTTCCAGGAACCAGCGTCTCTCCCAGCTCATGCTTGCAAGATGAAGGCAGCTTTTTTGGTGATGTGTGCACATTCAGTTGTAAACCTGGTTATGAACTACCCAGTCGCCTGAACACTCTGAGTTGCCTTTCGACCGGAAGTTGGAATGGCTCCGTAGTCAACTGCAGAAGTAAGTAACCCCTGAACTAAGCAAATTAAAGTCACAATGAGCTATTGAACTTTGTAAATGAATTATGAAATAAGGATGGCAATGTTCTAGTTTTCAGTTTAGTACCATCACGTCCAAAAATGCATCTGTGTTGTGCTGGCTTTAGAAGCATAAACCAAGAAACTTTCCTCCACAACAAATACAACTTAGAAGCCTATGATGCAGGTCTGACGACAGGTGACCTTAACGAGCTGGTGTTGAAACAATTTATGAAATTCTTTGGGTGGTTACGGATTCCATTGTGACTCGACTGCGGTTTCGATCGCGAGGACCTGAAAAAGTTATTGGTTGAGGCTGAGTATGATTTGAAGAATTATGCAGATCGGGGCTAGTGTTATCCTCCAAGGCCAACATCCTTCGAGATCTGCATAATTCTTCATATAGTACGAAAGCCGAATCTAATAATTAGGTTATTATTCATTCTAAAAATTTCATACTTTTTACCTCGATGATCATTTGTCTTTTCCTCGAAAAAGACATAAAGGAATGTGTGGTTTAGCAGATATTCTTCAAATAGCAGTTGTCATCCGTCGAGTTGTATTTTTTCTGTTTTTGCTATGTTTGTAGGCTGTATTTCGACTATTTCTTTTTCGCAAGCAAAACGCACATAGTTTTCCGCCATTTTCCCCAGCTCTACAAAATGGCTCAGCGAACGTAACGTCACGTCTCCAGGGCGTGTATGCTGCCCTCCCTTTTCTTGGTGATATCCTGTATTATTGATATCACAACGTCTTTCGATTTTGGTCAGTGCTCGCTAGCTATTGCTGTTGATGACATTGTTAAGTAGCCAAAGTAGTAGTGAAGATTGTTTTTGCAGCTGTTTTGTGACTTACCTTTTAATGAGAGCGTTGTAAAAGTTTCGCTTTATGATTTCTTTAACCAGGAATTAGTTGTCCGAGGCTGGCTCCCCCTTCTAATGGCGATGTTGTTCCAGAAACTTGCAAGGCAGATGGGCACATTTACAACGAGACATGCCATTACACATGTTCATCTGGCTATCAGTTGTCAGGGGTAACGAAGACAACGTGCCAAAGTGACGGGCAATGGGACGAAGAAGAGGGACCTACGTGCCAGAAAGGTAATAAAAGCCAGAATCGATGTATATTGGGGGAATCTTAGCTTGCCAATGTTGCTTCATGAGTCTATTCTCTATCCCTATTTCCTACCAGGCTATAAATACAAAAGCCATAACAAAAATTACCCATTTACATAGGTGACTCCCTGGTTACCTTTAGATACAGATTTTGTTAAAACGGAATTCTAAGAACCACCACCACCACCACCAACTACAACAAGCTCTATTGGCATGGCCATACAGGTGACCATACATGTACATACAGCATAGCAAAATCTATATATATTTTAAAAAGGTGGGGGGTGATTTCTATATTGGACGGCAATTAAGTTACTTCTAGTATACTTTTATCCAAATAAATTCTTTGGCAAGAAGTTAATCTTCCCCATTGAGGCATATTTTTCACCATAGGTGGTTGTTGTTGTTGTTTTTTTTTTCCATTTCTTTTCTTTTTCCATATAAAAAAGAGAAAGCGCTGATAAACACACATTTTTATCAGTAAGATCCTTTTGGATGAATTTACCTTGGTAATGATAATAATACTGTGCGACAATCACTTTACCGTGGTTTCCACTCTCGCGTACTTTTTTTACCTGCGTAATTGAAAATAAACGAAATGTATGGAAGGCACGCGGGACCTTACATGCATTGCCTCTATTTTATTTACGCAAGTAAAGACTACGCAACGGTGGAAATCCACGCTAGAAAGTATATTGTGAGGTTAACGCATTTCTTTCGCGTACAGTCTTCCTGGATCCTTGGATCACGTGCCCAGATAACGTGGTGGTGACTCTCTCTCCCGGCGCAAACACCTCCGATGTCTCCGCCTTATTAGAGAGCCCACTATCCAATCAGCCAGCGGAGAGGATAACAGTCAAACCATTGCAATACAGAAATAGTAAAATCTTCCCAGCGGGTTCAACGACTTTGACCTACACTGCTAAAAACCAAAATGGAAAGAGAGCAAAATGCAAGGTCGCTGTTATCGTTCAAGGTATCCAATGACCATATCCTTGTTGTCATGCATCACTGTACGACAGTCAGAATTTCAACCTACCCTTTAGAAAATGCGTGGGAGGGGTGGGTAAATGGAAAACCCCTAGGTCGAGGTTACAAGAATTTCCACAAATGAGAGCTGTTTTTCTTTAATCCTCCCTGGAGAATTGTGGTGTTTTTGAGTAAAATGAAATCGCACTGAAAGTATGGTCAATTTTTAGTGACAATCGTTTCAGTAAAAAAAAGCCGTTTCAGTCTAAGCAGTATAGAGAATGTTTGTTACATAAAGTATAACGGCCCTAGTTGCTACTAATTCAAGAGCCCAGGGGTAGAGAGGATGAACTTGTAAACAGAACGTCTAAGGTTCAACTTTGTTGGAAGACCGCGGATTTTTTCCGCCTGTGTCACTGACTGAATTATAGCGTCATTTTCTACAGAGCGTTGAATAGAACATATTCAATGATTCGTTTTTCCTTTAATCGAGGAAATTGAAAACAATTGGGGAAACGTTTCCAGTTTTGAAAATTTCTAAGAGCAATTTGCCAACCGTAAAAACGTACCTCTACTTGTTTATGGTGGTAGGCCTTTGCTTTCCCAGCCTCAAATGCACCTGCCGTTTCGGACTTTCTGACCTTACACCAATGAGTTGATATAGAACTTAACACCTAATATAATTGCAAAGAGATTTGACCCATTGGTTGGACTATTGCCTTATTTCTTATATTAGTTTCATTCTTTTTTTTCAATTCCAAACTAGAGGGATTGACAGAGTTTAAAAAATGCACTTTGTTTGTATGAGTGTCACTGTATTTAGCACGAAAGGTCTAATTGGGTACACTACTTTTACGTCTCCTACTGGAGACGTAACTGCCATTTTAAGTGGTCATCCGAGCCACGGGAAGGTCTAGCCGATTGAAGTGCAAAGGGTCTCTCAGTACCTTCGAGTATTTGTCCGAGCCCAGCGATCGAATCCACGACCTCCCGCTCTGCAGTCAAGCGCTCTAATGACTGAGCTAATCCTGCCGCTTCCAATTTATAGATTTCTTTTTGACTTATGCCTTTTCCTTTCTTACTTGCAACAGACAAAGAGAAACCAGCGTTTTCTACCTGCCCAAGAAACATCTACGTAACAACTACAGAGAACTTCAAAGTTGTACACTGGACACCCCCCACGTTTACTGATAACGTCAGAGTGATTAGGGTGACGTCCAGGAAAAATCCAGGCGATGTATTCCACCTTTTCTCAACTATTGTGAGTTACACTGCCTACGATCAGGCGAAAAATACAGAAACGTGTTCATTCACCGTTAATGTCAAGAGTAAGTTTGTGTGATTCTTTTCATTTTGTAGAGCATTTTCTAGTTAAAAGTCATAGTACAATTTTATGTTAACTTCGCTTTAAGCTTGTACATGTACCTCTACACTCTGTAATCTATTAAAAAACCAATGCCTAATCTTAGACTTGCTTTCGTCTTCTTGTTCCTCTCTTATTGTTTTCCTTTGCTGAAACATATTAGCTTGCAAAGTTAAAAATTGTATCCCAAATTAAAGTATTTGTCACAACAAATTCATCTCACTGTTAACCCAGACTCATACCCAGTCGCTATTTAAGTGTTTTTTGGGATGAGAGAAGATTGGGGATTAGGTTGAGGCGCGTGCGGGGTATCATGGGAAGGGAAGAAGGAAAAAAAAAGCTTCCTTCTTCCCTTCCAATGAGACCCCGCGCGCGCCGCAACCTAATCCCCAATCTTCTTTCATCCCAAAAAACACTTAAATAGCGACTGGGTACGAGTCTGCTGTTAACCTAAGACGTAATAGGGACCTTAAGTAACAAGAATGTTGATGTCCCGGATGTCACTAATGGCAACCGGAAGTTGTTATTTTATCTCTTTCAGTGCTCTGACTCGCCAAGTTCGTACAGCGGGAGTTAAAACAAAGGCATTCAGATTCGTTGTGTAAAACAGAAGTGTTCCATCGAGCGAGATATCAATCTTCCGGTTGCTATTCATGGCCTCCAGGGCTTCAGCGTTCTCGTTGCTCATATTTTCAAAACTCGCCAATATTTTTCAAAACCGGTCTTCATGCAAGGTAATTCAAGGCAGTCGTGAATTCTGGATTCCACGCTGTGGATTCAGGTACAGGAATCCAGATCCCTTGTTAGCCGAACTTGGATTCCGGGTTCCAATCGTTAGCGGGATTCCAGATTCCTTGAGCTGCAATTCCGGATTTCACAAGAAAAAATTTCTCGGATTCCGGATTCCACAAGCATAAATTTCCCGTACATGAGGTAATGTTGATAACCAACCACGGATGCCTCTTTGAAAATTATTTTGTATTTGTTTCCTCTGATTTTACCAGAATTAGGATGCGACCTTTCTCCTTCGCCACCAGAAAATGGTGCTTTGACCTGCAGCAATTATGGTGGATCATCATTTTGTACACTCTCCTGTAACGCGAACAAAAAGCTCTTCAAGAACGTTTATTATATACATTGCGAAAAAGGATCAAGTCCAAAATGGAGCGAAATACCTGATTGTGTTGGTAAGTAACGTTTCAGCAACGAACCTTATGTAGTTGCAGCTGTAGTTGATGCTGTCCTTGTTGTCTGTCCAGCTTCGTTCTCCCACCTCGTCAAATTATATTGTTTCATGTTTGTGCACAAGATTTCCACTCGGGTGGTTTGTGTAATTACTACAAGAAACTCCAAAGGAAGTGTTTATATTAATGATAAGTAATTTGCTAGTAGTTGCCAGATCTTACAAAAGTTGCTATACTTGTATCGTAAGTATCTTTTACTGCAGATTCTAGCTTGAAAACAACGGGCCGACCTTTCAAGCTTGACTGTGTTGTAATGTTGTAATCCCGTTTTTATAGTTTGTTTCATTTCAAATGCAGATTATTTAAATCCAGAGGCTGATGGTTCTTGTGAAATCAGTTATGTGAAACAAGGAAGCTTAAATGGGGCGTTTGCGGAAGACATTTGTGGTCAGTGTTATTTTGTTTATTTATTTGCTTGTCTCGTGTTATTTTGGTGGAATTTATTCGTCCATCATTCCATTCAATAACTCTCTATCCACCAATAGAGCGTTTTCATATGACATTACGTCAGCCATCCAAACCAGTCCTATGGGAGTTGAATCCTTTTCTTATGTAAACGCTTTCTTTTTTCCAAAAAATTTACTTAGAAGCTGCCCAAGTAAGTGAAAACGCTCTATATCCATCGGGCTTTCCATCAATCCATCAGTCCTTCTGTCCATCCCTCCCTCCCTCCCTTCATTCTTTTCTTCACTCCCTTCTTCCTTCCCTCTCTCCTTAATTTCCTCCTTCTCTCCATCTCTCCCTTCTACCCTCCCTCCTTTCCTCCCTCCCTCCCTCCTATTTCCTCCCTCTTTCCCTCCTCCCTTCCTTCCTCCCTTCTTTCCTTCCTTCCTTCCTTCCTTCCTTTCACCCTTCCTTCTTTCCCTCCTTTCTTCCGTCCTTCCCTCTTTCCTTCCATTCTTCCATCCCTTCTTCCCTCCGTCGTTCACGCTCTCCCTCCCTTCCCCCTCCCTGCCTCCGTCCCTCGGTCCCTCCATCCCTCCATCCACCCATCTACCTATCCATTATGAAAGGTTCAGGGGTAAAAAAACCTACAAGGTGAATTATTTGAATGTATTTACAGTTAAGTGTCCCAAGGGGATGTATTATAACATTACGACAAAGACTTGTAAGAATTGTGCGACTGGATACATAAGCTCACAAGAGGGTTCACTGGAATGTGAAGCATGCCCTGAAATCAGCTCGACACTGGTGGAGGGATCTAAAAAGTGCACTGGTAAGTTTATCTCCAAGTGTTTGGTGTCAGAGCCTCAACCTACAATTTTGTCTCTATCAATCTAAGCTGCAGACCTTCCTCTCCTTTAAACATCGAAAGTGTACTTCCAGCCAGTGGTGCCATCATTACAAAGGCTATCGTTCATGAAGCCAGGCCGGCAAATATTTTTCCTTTTTACAGTCACTAATGTGTGGGGAAGTAACCGTTTTAGTCGGATAAAGGATGAAAGTGGTTGGGGATACACTATGTTGACTCAGTTTAATCTTTTTTACGCAAATCTTCAGCTACAGAATAATTTGGTATTTGAGTCCGGCGTCTGGTAGGATTAACTCTTTGACTTTGTCCCATGAATATAGCTCAGTGCTTGGCCGGTCACTTCTCGAACTCTGGGTTTGATCTGCCCTCAAATCTTGACCCCTGTGAGCTATGTCCGAAGAATACTTTCCAAAATAAAGTTGGCCAAACGAGTTGTGAGAAATGTCCTTATGGAACCACTACAACTTCGACTGGATCGACATCATTGGTCGACTGTGGAGGTAAGCATTGAGTCCAATCAAGTAGAAGGGGGTGGAGTGACTCTCCAAGACGGGTTGTCCGGTCTGCCTGATAGCGAAAAGTCCTTAACTATGCGCCGACGGGTAGAGGACGGTAGTAATCTCGTACCTAGATCTCTTGTTAACGAAGCCAAGGCGAGATCTGGTCAAGTAAGAAAATTTAATTTTAAATCAGCCACTTAGACTTCAACTGCCTAGATTGTGTGGAAGTGAGTGTTACCAGTTTGACACACTTCGTCGACGAGAGATTAGGATGGTAGAGCTCTTTTAGCGAAGAATTACAGTTTCTTACTGCCTCATGTGATCCCAAAGAATATTTATGGAGAATCACATACCTAGTCGTGTAGAAGATAAAGCAAAGTCAGCATGAATAATTCATGCTCTTCAGAAGAACATTGCTTGTTTTCAAAGTCTCTTGACTTAATCTAATATATTTCGATTTCTGTGGACAATTAGGAGTACCAGTTGTCTCTCGATTTGAACCTAATCCAAGCAATGCCACTGAAAATCAAGCCACCCAGTTTGAATGCTACGGTCATGGCTTGCCTCCTCCAACTTTCACCATCAGGAAGGTGATGCCAGCGCAAGGTTAGTGTGATCAAAACAGCCGTATTTTAGGTTTTTCAACCACAAATGATCCTAGAACTGTTTTGCCGTCGCTAGTAGTCGTTGTTAAGGTCGGTGGTTTCAGGTTGCGAGACTTCTGGGCTGAATGGAGGCTCAGCAGTGGAGAATTCTGTGGTGCAACCGCTATACTGGCCTGCGAAAACAGCCGTTTCTCCTCGCTCCTCGCCTCTGGGGACGTTTCGCGAGGAGGAACGGCTGTTTTCGCAGGCAACTGCCATACAATCCAGTTTAACCTAGCGGTGTCTTACTGTTTATCTATTATTTGCTTGAGTCCATTTAGGTCTTACCTAGCAGTGATTTTGTTACCTCTGCGTCCTGCGTACCCGAGGCATAAAAATCCCAAAAGACGCAAAATAATTTGTGGCATGGGTCCCGTAGGACGCAAAGATCGATTGTTTTTTGTAGAATATCCTGTTTGTGTGATTTCTGTGGCTGTTCTTGTGGCTGTTGTTAAAAACACGCTTATTTCTTTTAGTCTTTGTTGTGCTTTACAATAGGAGGAGTACATTTTTATTTCAGTAAACTGCAATACAGAGTTTTGGTGTCTGTCTTCACATTAACTGTGTGGTTACAAAAGACCCAGGAACTCACTGTTTTTTGAACTGGGACTTAACGGTTCTAGACTGGAACTCATAATTTTTCAAAAGATGAGTTCCAGGATTCACCATAACTATTTGTAACAAAATCACCGACCTTGTAGAAATAAATTTGACTGTGTGTTCGTTTTTTAGAGGGTTTCGGCGGCCCTGTAATACAAGACTCACCATAACTATTTGTAACAAAATCACCGACCTCGTAGAAATTATTTTGACTGTGTGTTCGTTTTCAGAGGGTTTCGGCGGCCCTGTAAAACAAGAGTACATTAGTGGACCAGAAGGCAAACGAATCGGTCTCCGCTTTATCATCACCAGAGTCACACAGTACGACAAGGGTGCGTACGAATGCAAAGTAGAGAATAACTTTGGCACTGACCGCAAGTACCTTCATGTCAACGTAGCTTTGGACTTTAACAACGGTTAGTGTGTTAAGATTATTTAAAGATGAACGAACGAAATAAATAAAACTTAAGACAGGGTGGGGTTTCTCAAAGCTGGGTTGAGACAACGCAGGGTTAGTGCGAAATTTGAATTGGCCATTTCTGAGTTCCTAGAACTCGTATGGCCTAAAGTTGACTACACTCATCAGGCAATCTTAGCGAGTGACCGTTAATTTTACATGCTGACAATATATACTTCGTTGCTAAATTACCGTTGACTTTGAATTGGCGATGTATACATATGGTAGTCACCGGTAATTTGGCATGAACGCAGAATTATATTGTCAGCACCCAAAATTAACGGTCACTCGCTAAAATTGCCCGATGAGTGTGGTCCCCCTTAGGCTATACGAAACACAGCTGTAGCAATAAAACAATGTATAACCTTTGAAGCGTGGAACTATCTTCCAATTGCATCTGACGTATGAATATTTAAGCAATAGACCACACTTTCTATGGGTTTACTGGCGTGATAACCCACGCGGGATGTTGGGAGAACACAAGAAAAGCTTGTCAATCACGAGCCTAAGGCCCGTTTCAAACGTCGTGCTACAGTAACTGCCGTGCTAAGCTGGCTCGACTGTAGCTCGACTGCAGCACGACACTAGCACGACTTGGTTTCAGACGTCGAATGTAATTCAGTCGAATGGAACAGCTGCTAAAGTCGAATTCATCATCATCGAATTCGATCAATTTAGTTCGGCACGGCAGTAGCACGACGTTTGAAACGGGCTTAAGGCGAGTGATCTACAAGCTTTTCGAGTGTTCTCCCAACATCGCAAGAGGGTTATCACGCCAGTAAATCCATAGAAATTGCGGTCTATTGCTTTTAAAAAATAACTTTTATGTTTTCTATGACTTTACCGGCACAATAACCCATAGGTTTTTAACCAATCAGAATGCAGAATGCGCGTACTATCTTAGTTATTTTATAAATGTTTTTATTTTATAAGGAAAGCGTCGACGTCGCCGCCAAAGTTCGCAATCGCCATAGACCTTTGTTTAAGTGAGGAGTTCAAATGACTTATCGCGGAAGGACACTTAAAGATGAAGTATTATAGAACATGTAACATTATGTAACCTATCCTTGAAACCGAAATAAAAATTTAAAAAATGTCACTTGCGAAGGTGCCTCCTTTTTACTGCGCATACGCTTTGAGTCTCGTTCCTCACGCCGTCTTATAACGGGTCATGTGACTGTCCAGTTTCGACTCTTCTCCACGTCCCGAGATCGATAGAGCTTCTTATGCACCTATCAATGTAAAGCCGGCGGAGGGGGAGGCAGGGCATGGGGTGGGGATTTGATTGTCTTTGTTGGCCCTGGGGTAAGGCGTTAGACCAATCTTGTTCTCCCGGGGAGAGGATATTTGAATCTCTCTTCGCCCGACGTGGGCCCGACGTGGGGATGGATTTGACTACCGACTCGGACGAAAGAGACTGAGACCGAACATATGTTTCCCCACTTCCACGCTTAACGCACGCGACATACGGTCTGGAAAGATCTGGAGATCATGGAAGCCAACGAGAACTATCCAAAGGTGAGTGGATTTTACTGTATTAATCAACTGAACCTTTTAAGATACTGTGGTATCAAAGTAAACGGAAGTAAAGAGAAACCAAGTCGATGCAATTGATCAGCGTATGGCTGACATTCGCTACAATCACCGTATAAATCTTATAAAACTGACTTTCTTTGTACCCTTTACTGAGAACGGTATATTCAAACTTAAAAAATGTGGAGTTTCTACTAAAGGTTTCTGCAGTCTATCCAGTGTATTAAAACACGGATTAAATGGTTAAAACGTATAATTGCAGCTTTAACAGGAACATGTATCTTTGGTGATGCAGTAACGTTTATAACTAGAGATTGTAGAGTTTTATTTGGAGATTTTTTTATTGAGCCTTTCTTGGGTCCAGCCTTGGGATGGACAGCAATGTGCAGCCCGGGGTGGGGAAATTTGGTTACAATTGACTGGAATGATTTGCCCATGGGCAGGGAATTTGACGGCAAATTTTTGAAAAATGTCAAATCCCCACCCTATCCCCTTCCCAGCTTATACCCTTAAGATATTGCCCAAGGATAAATGGTTTGTAAATTTAAGTCAAGACTTATACTTAGTCACGAGACTCGATCTCGTACAAGAACGTATTTGAGATCACTGTTACTAACTGTCTTTCGCCACAGATTTTGGGAGGGCGATCGCAGGTTAGCTACTAAGGCCCGAACGTTTCATGAGCCGAACCTATTACATTGAATTAAGTGCATGAAAAATTCGGCGTCTGAAACAATAAGAAACGCCTGTTTCAATTTGGAACGGCTTAGCCGTTCTTTTCGCCTAGGCCGGCCGGGAATTTCGTCTTAGTTCATCTGCAATTAAGGTCGGCGTCTGAATCAATTCAGCCGGTCTAAATAATTTGGGTAGGCCTCAAGGTGACTCGACCCAGTTTTTTTTAGGGGGTACCATCCTACTTTGAAGCTCTCTGGTATCCCCACCTTTACTTTTATCGTAAGTATAACACATAGAATAGATAACACATAGCTCAATCTACAATATAACATAAAATTTTTGGCGATCTGAGTAAATGTCACGTGGTTATAATGCCACGCCCCTTTAAGGTCTGAGTCGAAAATCTGCTGTTGCCAGCATTTTTTCCTGAAAATCTCTAGGCTACACATAGTGCGCATTAGTGCCTTGCGCTGAACAGAGTTTCACCAAAATCGCAAAGACCCAATTCGAGAAATTCAGCGGTTTCCAAATTTAGGTCATAATTTATGGGAAAATGACAAGCAAACTTTACACGGATTATATCTAATAAACTATGAGATTCATCTCTGTATTTTGGGCATCCTTATAACAGATGGGTCCTTGCAAGTCAGCAAAACAATTTAGGGCCTTGTAAATGCGCGCGATTTCGAGCAAAGCAAACATTTAGAAATTATAGTTTTCGCCATTTGTTGACGTTTGTCGGCGTTTAAGAGTCAATCTCACGAAAAAAGCATTTTCTTAAAAATTCGTAGTTTTTTTTCCTTCAAATTTTTTCAGGGCCACAATTGATTAACTAACTACCCGGACTCTGAATTTCATGGTCATTGAAAAACAGTGACATTACCTTCTATAAGCCCAAACTTGAGTGAAAAAACTTGGTGAAACTCTGTTCAGCGCAAGGCACTAATGCGCACTATGTGTAGCCGAGAGATTTTCACGAAAAAATGCTGGCAACAGCAGATTTTCGACTCAGACCTTAAAGGGGCGTGGCATTATAACCACGTGACATTTACTCCGATCGCCAAAAATTTTATGTTATATTGTAGATTGATCTATATGTTATCCATTCTATGTGTTAGACTTACGATAAAAGTAAAGGTGGGGAAACCAGAGAGCTTCAAAGTAGGATGGTACCCCCCCAAAAAAACTGGGTCGAGTCACCTTAATTCGAATTAGGTTCGGCTCATGAAAGTTCAGCGTCTGAACCGGGCCCAACAGTCAGGTGTCGGTCACGACGTGAGGCTAAACTTAACATTTCTGGCAAACGAAGTGGTTTTGTCAGGGTTCGTCACTGGAACACGCTTTCGTTACCCGAAACGTATTTTTTAGTAGATTTGTATTGGCTAGTAGCCTCTAATTGATTGGCTGGGGACCGGGGTCCTTCGCCTCACTCTAAGTTTAACTACCCAAATGACTATACAAGATGAGTCATCCCGCGCCAGCTTATACAATTAGACTCCAATTTGGCTAGTTTTTTCATTTACAAAAAGTTTCCAGAAAATTCGGTTAGAAGTAGGTAGAACATAACACGAATTTTTGGGTCTTTCCAGTGGAAAATTTCCAAGGGTAACGGAGAGTCAAACTCACCTCTTTAAACAGCAGCTGCAGGTTTTAACGTTTTTTTTTTCGGTAAATTAGACAGGTGTTCAATGGTAAACACAAGTCCCTAACTTTTTAATTTGAACCTATCCTGGGAGTATAAAGCTCTCCATTCTTGCGGGTATATAGAATATATATAAACATTAGTCCAAGCAAGGAACCAATCGGTTCGGGCAAAGAAAAAACAAAACCAAGAAGTGACACCCCAGTGACAGTCAGCTGACAAGCCGCGAGGCTGTCATACTGTTTAGACAAACTCGCGCGGAAAACGCTTGCTACCCAGGATTACCAAAGTAAGGCCCGTAACGTACAATGATTGTAGGTTTTTGAAAGCAAAATGAATGAAATTATGTCTTGTCAGTAGTTTCCGTAGCAGCCGCTTAGCCCAGAGTCACACAACGCCCCTCGTTCCCACCCGTGTACGGGGAGCGTTGCGTGAGTTAGACTGTCCAACTGTCAGTTGAATGTCATCTGATAATCCATCAGAAAACAAACACCACTTGAAGTGAAGTTCATTTCATGATTTGCAATCCGTCGCGTGCAATGTACCGACTTGGTCAATGTATTTAATCTGAATGGTGAGTATAAAAATAATTAGTAATTTTCAATAGCTCATGTATTATGTTTTAATAAGTGAACCATGGAATTTGAATATACCTTTTGATCATTATGCGATCAATCCTTTTCCTTGCAAGATCCTTTGCTCTGCTGGATTTTGAAGACCAAATGGCGAGTAATCTTGACAAGCCATTTGCAAGCAGCGATATTTCCTACTCGAGGACGATTCTTCGCACTATGAACGAGTTTAGGAGGCAAGGAATTCTGTGTGATGTAATTATCACTGTCCGCGGGGGCCGCAAGTATATAGCACATTCTACTGTACTCGCTGCTTCAAGCCAATATTTCCGAAAGTTATTTGCTTTTAATTCCAATACAGAGACACGTTTTCAAGTTCAGGTACACTGGGTGTATTCTGAAGTTATGGAAGTCATTTTGGATTACATTTACACCGGGAAAATAAACTTAACAGAAGACAATGCCGAGGTCATATTAACCGCTTCAGATTATTTCGTCGTTGAAGGTTTACAAGACGTTGTTGTCGACTTCCTACAAGAACACTTGAATGTTCTCAGTTGCTGTTCAGTTTTATCTCTGGCTGATGACTATTCCTTGCACGTTTTAAAATCTTCCTGCAGTCGTTTCATCAGCAATAACTTTGCTGAGGCCACAAAATCGCAAGCGTTTTTTTGTTTACCAATGAAACTCCTGAAAGAGCTCATCTCAAGAAATGATCTGGTGCTTGCGAGCGAAAAGGACATCTTTTGCGCAGTTGTACGTTGGGTCAATCATAGCTTCGAGAACCGAGCCTCTCATTTTGAAGATCTTTTTTCTTGTATTCGATTGCAAGACATACCAAAAGAGTTTCTCTCATCTACTGTCGTCCATGAAGCGTTGGTTCAAGAGAACGACACGTGCATGGCTCACGTACTGGAGGTGATGAACGTGGGTGATGTAAGTCACGCAAGTACGAACATCAGATCAAATCTGGAGAGTGTTGATGCTGTGGTCTTGTGTGGAGGGACCAGTAGTAAGTATGTAACGCAAAACTTTCAACATACCGCCTGTTTTGTTCCTTCGAGTAACAAATGGCTTGAACTGCCAAATATGCTTTGTGGACAAACTGGTCACGCAACAGCGGTGTGCAACGGTCTACTGTACAGCACTGGTCATCATTCCATTTTCAACCAGGAAACTAGCCGGCTCGTACAGTGCTACGTTTCGGGAGATAGAAAATGGGTAACCTGTGCCTCCATGCCTGTTGGACGTTCCTTTGCAGCTGCGGTCACTCTCCAAGGTCAATTGTACGTCCTGGGTGGAGTCCTCCACAAAGACAACCGCAAGTCGGTTTCCACGGCAGTAAGTCGGTACAATCCAGCAGTCGAAAGGTGGTACGCTGTTACTGGAATGAACTGTGCTCGTCAAGGTTTGTGCGCAGTCGTATTTGAAGGGAGCATCTTTGCCATAGGGGGAAGGGATATTGATGATAATTTCCTATCCACCGTGGAGAGATACGAGCCACAGCAGGATCAATGGGCGTCGATAGGATCTATGGTCAAAAGGCGTGCTTTTGCCTCTGCAACAGTCATTAACGGTAAAGTGTTGGTAATCGGAGGTCGAGAGAATGCACAAGACTCTGGAATTCTCAACTGCTGTGAAACATTTAATCCTGCAACTGGTCAATGGAGCCTTGAGCCCTATGGTCTCTGCACTGCTCGCTGCTCTGCAGGAATCTGTGGTGTTGGCAACAAAGTGTTTGTGTTCGGTGGCGAAAGTGAGGATGATGCACTCGATAGTGTGGAGTGCTTGGATGTTCAAGAGCGTCAGTGGTCCATAGTAACTCATATGCCTTTCAACGCTTTTCACATCCAAGCTGAGCTTCTTCGTCTTCCCAAGAACACTGTTTTTAGGCAGTAATCAATGGATGCTGTGTATCCCCATTCACACCAAATACATAGGTTCAGAGTGCACATTTACGTAGTTTAGTTCTGTGCCAGATCTTCTTTTATTATATATAAACAACAATTCTCTATTTTCGAATTCCTCTTCTCAACTCATTAATAATTCATAAAGAAAATGCAAAGGAAATTGATGTTTAATGAGTGTTTGGAAATCAGATGAAAAACTGCTAATTTTTGGATCCTTTATTTCTCCTTCTAAAATCATTTTGTTTGAGAAGTAATATCAAGCATTCGACACAGTGTTTCATTACCAGATGAAAGATCTCGAAGTTCATCAAAAGTACTTCGCTGAGTGTCGTAATTTCAACTCTCTTCTCATTGTTTTATCTGGTGATGAGACTGCATCTCATGCTTGATATTTTACATAATACTGTCTGTTTGCCCTTCCCCAACCACCTCAAGTTTGCATAAGTTGTTTTTTTTCAAATACTTTGCGGAATATGCAAAGCTTGTGCAAAATTTGAGGGGGGGGGAGAACAGAGTTTATTATGAGGGTTTCGAAAATAGTAAATGAAGTCAGGTGAGCTTTCGTGACAAAACATATCTTTATACGTAACAAAAACATTACATTCACAAGTTAAAAGATCACCGTTGCTATGGTTGCATAATAGATTTTGACTGTTGCAGCAAAAAATCGAAATGAAATGGTTTGGTATTTCATTGGTGTTTATGTAACAAAAAGAGTATTAAATAACCGCTTGAAGATACGAAATACCTCTTCTCGCTCGTTTGGTGGTCATGCTAGCATTTTTTATGTTTCTATTTTAGATCATGTATTGTTACGCTAGAGAGCTGTTTCTTTTAAATTTGGTCTTAAGCATGATTTAGTTATTTTATTTCAGTTTTTGAGAGAGAGTCAAACATGAAAATGAATTGGGCTACTAGTTTTTTTGGCCTCACACACAGGCGTTTTTAGCGTTGCTCATCTTTTATCAGCTGGTCTGAGCCAGTCAAATGCTAGAAAATACAATAGGCAGTGCAAACTAGCCAATCAGTGCAAAGTCCTTGTGACAACGCACTAAAAAAAAAGTCTTGTTGGCTGATGGCGGTTCATCGACGAACACTTTTGGCTTCTTGTTGCTGTGAATGTTGTTTTGTTTTTTTGTTTTGTTTTGTTTCAAAAAATTCCTCTGACAGCCAAATTGGACGAGGCCGTATTTTGGCTGTCCTCGGAATTTTTTTCATCCAATTATTTCCAAATTGGATAGCATGTAGTCCAATTACATATGCAAATCCCATGAAAAAATTGAGGATCGAGACAAGCGAATCTGGACCATCGTAAAGTTAACATTAAGTAATCACTCAAATAAGATGCAATCTAAATGAAGTTATAGAGAAGGGGATTGTATGCAGTTTGACATCTCTTTTACAAGGACTGGAGAGCTGTCATGGAGACGTCTCCATAACCAGAGGTTTTATTTAAATGGTCACATGACCATAGTATTAATTAACATGGGGCAAGCCAGGGTCATTTGATAGCATTTGTAATAATTTTAATATTTAATTGATGGCATCTATCAACTAAAAAGGAATAAGAACCAAGTATATAAAAATTAGAGAGATTTATTGATTTTTCATTTACAGACTACAAATACGCTAACTTATTTATCTAGGAGTTCGAAGAGAACTTCTCCCAAGAACATTTGATGTCTTTTTTTAGTGGATTTTAATTTTCAATTGATACCATTTGTACACTAGGAAGAATTTAAGATCCAGTAAATATAATTTAGATAGATTTACACATAATCATTTACAGACAAATTTTTTTCGCCCTTTTCACTCAAAGGGTAGCCCAAAAACACAATTTGCAAAAAAAAAAACAATTATAAGAAGGAAAAATTGCAAGTCCTAACAAAAATCATGGACAAACCCCTTTGATAAAATACAAATTTGGCAACTATATTAATTTTGAAAAGCGGCTGTTTTTTATAGTCCACAGAGGGTTGTCTTCTATCTAGAACATCACTGAACAATTTTCTTCTTCCCATTTCGCCCAAAAAGGGGGAAAAAAGAAATTTCAAATTTTCAAACAAAAATCACGGATTAACCCCGTTGGAAAAACGCAAATTCTGAGACGTCCTAAAATCGATCGATCAATCGATTGATTTCTATCTAAAACATGACCAAAGTATTTTTTCTTCGTATTATCCTCAAACAGAAAGAATGAAGAAATGTAAAAATTGTCGACCTGTTGATTTTACAGTCTACAAAGGGTTGTAATCTATCTAGAACATCCCCGAACTATTTTCATCTTCGTATTTTGCGCAAAAAGAAAGAATAAAGACATTTCAAACTCTCGACCAAAATCATGAACTGACCCCTTGGAAAAATGCAAACTTTACGACTTTCTGTAATCAACACCCCCAAACTATTTCTCCTCCCCTTTTGAACAAAAAGAAAGAACTGGAAGAAATTTCAACTAACCCCACCTATCACAAAACTTTTTTTTCCTCCTCTTTAGAACAAAACGAAAGAATAAAGAACTTTCAAATTTCCACTAAAACCGTCCACCAACACCTTTAGAAAAATGCAAATTTTTCGAGTTTCCTGTCAAGAACATCTTTAAAGAAATTTTTCCTTCCTATTTTGAACGAAAAGAAAATATTAAAAAAATTCAAATTTCCGACCAAAACCATAGACCATAATAGGCCATAAAAAAAAAGAAATTTTAGAAAGTCGAAAAATTTGTATTTTTCTAAAAGGATTAGTCCATTGTTTTAGTGAACAAGTCAAACTCTTTTCGTTTTTTTATTTTTGTTCAAAATAGGAAAAAAACAACAGTTTAGTGATGTTCTAGATAGAAAGAAATCCTATATAGACCAGAAAAATGATATTTATAAGAAATGGAAAAAAATTGCATTCTTCTAGAGGGGTTAGTCCATGGTTTTGGTCGAAAATTTGTTATTTTTTCTTTTTTTTATTTTTGTTAAAAATAAAAACAAAAATACTGTGGTAATGTATGCGTAGAAAGTAACGCAATATAGACCAGAAAATGACCTTTTTACTAGATCAAAAAATTGGCATTCTTCTGAAGCCATTAGTCCATGGTTTTGGTAAAAAATTTAAACGTTTTTCTCTTTTACTAAATCTAGAAATTGGCATTCTTCTAACGAGGTTAGTTCATGGTTTTGGTCGAAAACTTGAAGTCTTTTTTTTTTTATTTTCGATCAAAATAGAAACAAAACTAGTTTGGTAATGCTTTAGATAGAAAGCAACTCTATATAGACCAGAAAAATAAGCTTTTCAGTACATCAAAAAATTGGCATTCTTCTAAAGCGGTGAGTCCATGCTTATGGTCGAAAAGTCGACATTTTTTTCTCGTTTTTATTTTTGCTCAAAATAGAAACAGAAATAGATGGTAATGTTCTAGATCGAGAGCAATCCTATATAGACCAGAAAAATGACCTTCTAACTAAATCGAAAAATTGGCACTCTTCTAGATGGAGTTAGTCCATGGATTTGGTCGGAAACTCAAAAGGTTTTCTTTTTTTTTTCGCTTAAAACAGGAGCCGATTACTAATCAGCCTCTGCTTAAAATAAAATAAAAAATAGTTTGGTAATATTCTGAATAGAAAGACACCCTATATAGACCAGAAAAATGACCTTTTCAACAAATCAAAAAAAAATGGGATTCGCGATCGTCTAAAGAGGTTAGTCCATACTTTTGGTTGAAAATTCAAAATTTTTACTATTATTATTATTATTATTATTATTATTATTGTTCAAAAGAGAAAGAAAAATAGTGTGCTAATGTTTTAGATAGAATGCAACCCTATATAGACCAGAGAAATGACATTTTTACTAAATCAAAAAATTGCAATGGTTTTGCTCCAAAAATGCCCATTTTTCCAAATTTATTTTTTAGGCAATATAGGCCACGAAAATGTCTTTTACGATATTCCAGAAAACAAAAACGACTTTCTAGGCTATAAAAAAAAGAAGGTCAAAAAGTCGAAAACCTGACAATTTTTTCAAAGGGGTTAACCCATGGTTTTGGTCCGAAATTGGCCATTTTTCCAACATTTTTTTTAAAGGCAATATAGCCCAGGAAAATGTCTTTTCCGAGATTCTAGAACGAAAAAACGCCTTTCTAGGCCATAAAAACAAGAAATTCAAAGAGTCGAAAAATTGACATTTTCGCAAAGGGGTTAACCCATGGTTTTGGTCTTGTTTTGGTCTAAAAATGGACATTTTTCCAACTTTTTTTTTAGGTAATATAGGCTAAGAAAATGTCTCTTCAGATATTCTAGAACAAAAAAACGCCTATCTAGCCTATAAAAACAAGAAGGTCAAAAAGTCGAAAAATTGACACTTTTCCAAAAGGGTTAACCCATAGTTTTGATCCAAAAATGGTCATTTTTCCAAGTTTTTTTTTTAGGCAATATAGCCCAGGAAAATGTCTTTTATGATATTCTAGAACGAAAAAACGCCTTTCTAAGCTATAAAAACAAGAAGTTCAAAAAGTCGAATAATTGAACTTTTTCCAAAGGGGTTAACCCATGGTTTTGGTCCAAAAATGGCCATTTTTTCAACTTTTTTTTTTAGGCAATATAGGCCACGAAAATGTCTTTAACGATATTCTAGAACGAAAAAACGCCTTTCTAAGCTATAAAAACAAGAACTTCAAAATGTCAAATAATTGCCATTTTTCCAAAGGGGTTAACCCATGGTTTTGGTCCAAAAATGGCCATTTTTCCAACTTTTTCTTTTAGGCAATATAGGCCAGAAAAATGTCTTTTATGATATTCTAGAACGACAAAACGCCTTTTTAAGCTAAAAAAACATGAACTTCAAAAAGTCGAAAAATCGCCAGTTTTCCAAAGGAGTTAACCCATGGTTTTGGTCCAAAAATCGCCATTTTTCCAATATTTTTTTTTAGGCAATATAGACCAGGAAAATGTCTTTAATGATGTTCTAGAACGAAGAAACACCTTTCTAAGCTATAAAAACAAGAAG